TAAGCCAGCGAAGCCGCTAGATATTATTTTCCTGAATTATATCAATGTCGTGATAAAGCTCATACAGCTGATGGTTTCTTCGGATAGGATAGTTCTTTCTGAATTGTAAATACTTCTACTCCATCTACTTAAATAAGCAACATTTAGTTTAGATTAGGATTTTCAATATAGCAACCATATAAACTAGATTATTCTTTGGTACCGAATGGCGAGAATCTTTTAACTTACGCCTTCATGTGAAAGCTACCTAAATATGACTTAACAGCTTTTTTTAGCTATATATAGTGTTCTGATTGTATCTACCTAAAACCTAAGAGATGAATATGTTATTAGCTTTTCAATAGCTCATCTTTTGGAATACTCTCTGAGTATGATTTGTAAAGTTATTTCAATTAGATCCTGTTACCACGAAGCTTATTGTACTCCTGATGGTGACGATAAAATGTAAATAAGTAAATAATCTGAACAGAAAAAGCAGACAACACTGCTTATAGTAAATGTTAACTTTTTATATAATTTCTATACTTTTGAGAGCGGAGAATTCATATCCTCCACAATTTCTGTGAACGAATTATCAAAAACCCTACAAGAGAATAGTATTAAAAATAATTTCATATTGTAATTTGTAATAAAATGCGCGTGTCCGTAGACTACACGAGGGCTGCCTTTTAAGTCTTGAGCCTAACAATGAAAACGCAGTGTTTAATCAATGAAAATGGTTTTATTGTTTTTCGAAGTATTCTCCATTGTGATCAACATATTTTTCGATTGATTAAACCAATTTTCAAAACAGTTTTGCCACACTGAAGTTGGTATCGCCAAGACCTATGTTTTAAATATCTCAACGGCCTGTTAGATCGTAGAAAAGCGCTCGACACACATTTTTTTCTTAATGTTTGAGGACAAGAAGAAGTCATTGGGTGCCAAGTTGTGACTACAAGACGAATGACCATCAATTCGACAAATTCTTTTATTTGAGCTGACGTGTGGAAAGTCTCATTGTCTTGATGGAGGATGATCTTCCTTCGACGGTTGGTTTTTCTCAATTCTCCAAAATGTTTCGAATAACAAATGGTTGTGTACGACTCAAACTTGACCGTCCTACGTTGTTCAAGTGGTATAGTTGCGGCATAACCGGTTTTCTTGAAAAAATAGAATGTTTTTGCGAATTAAGAAAGAAGACTAATCATTAAAAAAATATCAGTAAAATATGTGACAGAATACCCGAACCGAAGCATTTGGTGTATAGATAAAATTACGCTTATAACACGAACTGAGTGTATGAATAAAAAAACTTAAATCTTAAGAATGTCAATATATGTTATAGACTATGTACATATACATTATATTCATAATAATTCTAATGATATTATCACTTTATCGTATAGTTCACTTAACGTTGAGATGTTAATTGCTGCTAACTGCATAGTATAGCCGTAATTAATGAAAAATATTAAAAATTTTATCTACATTCTAAAAAATTATATGATAGATCTGATTAATGATCCAATGGCTGATCTATCAGTTTTGTTTTGTTATGTTTACTATTAATTTCTTTGTTAATTTATCTGTTAATATGTCTGTTGATTTGTGTGTTAATTTGTCTGTTAATTGAATTATTAATTAATCTGTTAATTCTTTTGTAAGTTGATCTATTAACTGATCAATAAAAACTATTTTATATTATGATCAGAGTAATTTTTAGACTATTTTATGTACCCAAATGAAATATATTATAATTTGAAACAAGTTTAAAAATTATGTTATGTATTCACGATAATAAAATTATGAGGACGGTGCATACTTTTAGGAGCCCAAAAATAAATATAAGAAATATTATTTAATTATGAAATAAAAAAGTAATATCGTTTAAAGATATCGTAATATTCTTAAGAAATTGAAAATTTTTTTTAAATTAATTAGAATAAATATAATATAGTTACATTATTAATAATTAAGCCCATTATTTCAGAATATTTATTTTCCTCTTTATACTCATAAGTATTTGAAGTTTCTGATTGTTGATAAAGTATTATCTTAACCTACTAAACCTTAGGGTGATGGTCCCATTACACATTTGGAGCACAAATTGTTCCAATTTTTAAATTTAAATAATTAATATTTAAATTAAAAATTTATTGAATAATTTAAATATAATCAGGAAATTTTAATTTATGTTCCACAAATACCAAAATTTAATTTTATATAGCATGGACAGTTCAATATATTCTACTTAAATTTCATTCAAATATATGCAAAACATTTTTTTACAAATCTTACAGTTTTTGTGTTCATTCATTTTAATATTAATATTAACACAATACAATAAATTCAAGCAATTTATAATAATCAACCAAGTGGGCTCTTCTACATCAAGATCTCCTACATTCAGTATATAAAGTAATGTAGAAGCTTAATTTTGCGTTCAAATTCTTGCAAAAAAGTTTATTATTGAAAAATAGACTATAATCAGGTACGGTTCTACAAATTCCCAATAGAGATTTTTGCAACAATACACATAACATTAGGGCCTATAACTTTACTGTTTAATTCATTAAAATATTTTGTTTTTAATATAAGAAAACTCACATTCATCAGTTGTGTTTTTTATGGAATGTAATTTCTATATGTCTTTACTTTCTTCTACCATGGTTTTCCACAACATCCATTATGGTTTCATTTTTAAATACGTAATTATATTTTAAAAGTTATTATGATATATTAATAAGAAGATGCCCCAACATTGTTGGGGCATCTGTACATAACCATACACAATTTTATAAGATTATATATTTTATATATATAAAACATTTAAAAAGTGTTTGCATTTATTAAATTTGAAAAAAAAATTATTTTTATTAGCTATCTTACTAATTAATATCAAAATGAACCAAATACGAGTATTATCTTAACAGAATTTGCTCAAAAAGAAAAGAATTTATGTGACACTTTCTCTTATCAGTTTATAATTTCATTCTCCATTGGATTTAATTACTTAAATTTTAATCTTAAGTATTTTTAGAACCCATAAACATGGATGACTAAATATACTTTCGAAGTAGTTAACAATCATTAAAGCAACGCAGTGCTATTTCAAGACTTTTGTCGCAAAATATAAAAGTATTTTAAGACTTCCCTACCTTGTAATCTAAAGACAAAAAAAAAATCTTCTCTATATAATTATAATAAAGATAAATTTTTTTAATAAAACCTTTTTAAATATCTTCATTGTACGTACTTCCTGTTATATATGAAAAATTCCGGTTACTTTTCGAGTTCAATCAAAACCAAGACATATTTTTATTTTAATATTTTAAATATATGTTAATTATACTATATTTTATTCTCCTTTAAAATAACCATAATAGTAGTCTTTGCTGGAATAGTATATTTTCGACCTCTTCTCCACATCTCACTCTATACGCTTCACCACTTATATTCTTTATATTTTAAATCGATGAATAGCAAGACAAAAAAAGATTTTTTTGGAATGTCATATTCTTCTTTTCCCAGTAGTCGATTTAGGTAAAGTATTTATTAGGAAAAATTTATTTTTGCTACAGATAGTTAGAATTCTACCAATAGTCAACAGGAATTCTAAATTAGTGTAAAATCAATATCTGACAAGAAAATTTACTCCAGAAGAACTAAGAACAGAAAACAGGCAAATTATGAAAAAACACAATAACTCATCATTTCTTATTTGACATGCATGAGTTCTAAGCCTGGTACTTCCAGTCCAACAAATTTTATACGGACTATAAACTAATTAAATTAAAACAAATAAAAATTCAAATATATCCCAAAGATCACATATGATGATTATGTGACAATACTCGAAACAGCGTTGTATGGTCAGCCAAATTTCAATAAATTAATCAAATTTTGTTGTTATTTCTTCATTACTGTTCGAACTCTTTTAGTTTTCTTCGTTTTTTTTCTTAACTCCACTTTCGAATCTCTTTTATATACACTGTATATTAAATAACTTCATACTAGCCTATCTACAATAATTTTAAAGGAATTATGATCTATGAATATATATATAAAAAACATAGATCAGACGGAATAATAAAATCTGTTTGATCATTAATCCGCCTTGCAGTGATCATTACAGTCTATAGAACATATTCTCGAAGACATGTCTCTAATCTTTACCTGCAATATTTTGTCTATAGATATCAAATAATTAAAAATGTTCCCATTGGCGACCCATCACTAAACTATTAAGTAAATATAATATATATCTTCATTATATAAAAATTGAGATAATGACTGCTTTCACTCCAGAAAAAAAAACAGTTCTGTAAATAATAAATAAACTGCCTTATATTAATGAAAATCACTTACTTCGTCACTTTTTAAATACATACAGACTGATTATATTCAGAGTAATATAAACTACAAACACGACCGTAACATAAAGCGACAGATACTATAAAGAAAATGTGAGTAAATAACAAGATACGTTAATTGTTATGTGTCATCTTTTTATTTGTTAGATAAAATGAAGTCGCAAAATTCGTTTTCTTTAATTTGTATCTGATGTTATATGACAGTTCATAAATATTTTCCTTGCTGTTTCTTATCAATAGACTTGTTAATTAAGCATGTAAAGATAAAATATTATGTATGACTCTCATACCTACGATCACATACAAACTTGTATTTTGTATTTTGTATTAATTAATTTATTTACTTTTTAAATTGTAGCACTTTTTTAAATAATTAAAATGTCGAATTTTTTATTATTTTGGAAAAAATAAATATATTAAAAAAATATTAAATATTTTTTTATAAAATTAAAAACCCAAGAGAGAAAAGAAGACAGCGTCACAGATATTTTATATTTACAAGTTACAATTATTATATACATAAACATAAATTGAATCTTTTTTTTTGGCACAAAAAATAATTAAAATGAATGTATAATAAAAAAATTAAAATAAAAAATAAATTAATTCAAAAACAAATTACCAAAAAATATAACTAAATAATGAAAATAATATTTAATTTAAGAATTTCATTAAGCTATAAACTAATGCGGTCAGAAGCGAAATGAAAGGCACAAGGGTTGCTGCTCCACTGACAACGCAACTGGAAAGAGAAAATAATATTATACGAAAGAAAAACTTAAAGATTAAAAGTTTTAATAGATCACCCGAAACTTACCCTTCATTTTGAGTAATTGTGTACATGGACGTGGCAGAGAAATCACTGTAATTGATTGCGGCTTGTGCCTCAAGGTTGCCCAAATAGGTCGCGTTCACATAACGGGTACGTGTCAAGATAACTCCAATCGAGGATGAATTATTTGAGGTATATCCGCAAACAAAGGCATAGTTCGTATTATCAGTGCTTAAAACTTTGAATAAATAATTGGTTGATGAGATATTAGAATACAAAGTAATGGAACCATTTGCAGTTGCCAATGTTTTATTGAATGTTTGGGAAACGGTTTTATTTTGATTAAGCATATTCATATTTGAAGCATATGTAGTGTTCACGTACACAATATCAGTGCTCTGTGAAGAACCTCCAATGTCAACTTCAATGCAAGCAGCGCCTATTGAGGGCTGGCGAGCAACTTCGTACCATGTGCCATACAACTAAAATTAATTATAGTTTTATATTGAAAATCATTTTATTGTCACAATTAATAAGTTTTAACTCTTTTTTTAATTATAAATATTTTGCATTTTATTATTAGTAGAAAGTTATTTATCCATTATAATGCTTAGTCCATTCAACCAGCAATTTAAAAGAAACACTTACTGCTGATATATCAATATTGCTCATCATAGTAGCATCACTGCAGTTCACTGGAGTGGTAGCAGGAGGATTCGTTGATTGTCCCGTAACACTTCCACTCAACACACTTAATGCAATCACTAAAACCGATACTCCAAATAAACAATTCATTATCGTTTATAATTTAATTTAATTAAATTTTTGGAATAATTTTTAAAAATCCTTTTTTCTTATTTCTCGCACAAGTTTGCGTTCAGTTGACGCGTGAAATACGTGGCTCGAATGTCAGAACGATACTGAAGACACTGAATGGTGGGTCTTAGTAATTTATATCACTATCTCAAAGTGAAATGAAAACATGTCTATTGTTCTGATAAAAAAGGCTTAAAGGGGTTTTAGTTTTTTCTGTTTCATACATACCAAAAATATATGTTGATGATAATTAAAACAAGATTATATTTGCGTGTGCATTAGTAATACTCGGTCGTATATCGTAACTCATACTTTTATATTTTATTTATATTTTTTCTCTTCTAGTATGACTAACCATTCATAATTTAAAATATAATTATTATTTTTTACTTGTTTTTTAATTATGAAGACAGAAGACAGAAGATCTTTTATCAAACATTTTGTGTAGAATAATATATTGCAAAAATTAACTGATAGAAAGTGAAAAATAATTTATAGCTTTAATTCCTATTGATATCTCAATATATTTATTTAGAAATTTAGTCTTAATAATTTATTTTCTTTTTATTATTATAAATTTTAATTAATAAGAAACAAATTATATAAAAAGGAAATTGTACATTGTACTTTTTATTAAATCAAAATTAATCCCCTATCACTAGAAAAGAGTAGTGCGAATTAATTAGTAATTTGCAACACATACACCCGATGAACCTTAAATCAAAGCAAGGTAAGGTATCACAGGACTGAGTTTTATATATTCCAAATGTTGAATATATACAACAATAATATATACAACCAGTAGCGAGGCGTCAGCTTTTTGGCAAGGTGTTCACAATTTGATCAAAACAGAATTCCAACTATAACGTATTCCCCTTACTCCTGAGTTTTATCCTTTCCACAAGCAAATAGCGTACAAGACCAACGAAACAATTTATTTAACATAAAAGTTCGCTGTAGGAAAACGGCGACTTACTACAGATTTCGACATTTTTACATTAGGTACCAAATTCTTCATATCTGGAGTTGGTCTATTCATTTTATGAATTAAAAACTTTTTTTGTTTTTCGTTTAAAAAAGATATTTGAATCAAATCTTTAATCCCACATTAATCCATTTGTAAATATTAGTTTTCACTTCAAATTTCTTTAATTATTTTCTTTACTTTTACCATTTGCTAGTATAAAATTGTAATAATGACTTTGTTTTTGGTTTATTTCCAACCTCTGCATAAGAGTAAGAAACTCTCATGCATTTATTTACTCTTATACTTTGTATTTACTATGCACGGTTCAGTTTTTTTATTGAACCATTTGCCCATTAAAACGGCACCCGTGACTTTGATTGTATTTGCACGCTTTGTATGAACTTGGGGTTCAATTTGGTCGAGTGAACCTCTCGTCAAATGTAAAGCGATTTTCGCTCAGTCATTTCTTTTCTCTTTTGTATTTACTTTGCATAACATTGGACGTTCACTTATTTTATTGAACCGCTTGCACGCATTAATTTAAGAGTTATGATTATTTTACGTACATATTTTTTTCGGGGCTTGTTTTCTCTTTTATTTTTATATTTGTTTGTATGTTTTGTGTTTATTCAATATTGAACATAGTCCCAAAATGAATGTTATTTAATTTGCATGCTTTGTAAGCAGCGCGGTGCAGTTTTTATTCTGAACCTTAGTATATTTTAAGAGGAATGTATTTTCTCTTTTATTAATAATAAGAAATGTTGGGTGTAACTAACATATGTACGTGTGGTTTTGTTTGTATTATACGTTTTGTGTTTATGTTAATATGTTTGGAGAAGCTATTATAAAAAATATTAAGTAGCAAAATAGCGAGATTATTTACCTAATAAAAGAAAGATCTAAAAAGGAAGCTTTGTTAAGGTGTTCAGTGAACACTCTGAACCATTCGACGCTTCGCCTATGTATACAACGTATTTCATTCTTAAAGAGAATGTAAATTTTATGTAACGCATTTACGGTTCATAATTTTAATTCGGTAGTTAATATTTAAAAAAGGTAGCAACTCATTAACATTCATTTTCTAATATATACCGATTTTTTACTTTGTGGTCCAAATAAAACGCATTTGTGGTTCAGATTACTATAGTATTTTTATTTTCATATTTTGGATCATTTCAGGATAATTTAAAATGACTTTTCTACTACAACTGAAAATAGCTCCTCCATAACTGGACGTGTCTTCTTTTGCTAAGCATTTTTGCTGGGAGTTGAGAATTGTCCACATAAACATGTTCGAATGATGAAAAATTGTATAACTTCGATGACCGACTCAAAACACCAAACCATGAAATTACAAGTCCATAAAGTTTCTCGCTTAACAAACCAAAAACAAAATATATTGACGTGTGACAAAGTGATGATGAACAAACATATCTTTCACTTCCATATCACAAATTTCAAACCAAAAAAAAAAAAATGGTAATCACGGCTGAAGTAAACACAAATAATGGCTTGTATCACTCATTTGTTATTAAAAAAAAAAAAACGAATCTATCACGTATTGAACAGTGGAGGGGCGAGCAAGAATATTTAATTAATCTTTTTTTTCTGATTTTATGCTGACCATGTCATGCATATAGCTTACCATGTGTGCTCTTCGCCTTCAGTCACTTTTTTTAAAATATTCTATTTGTATTCTCTTCAGTCACTTTTTTTAAAATATTCTATTTGTATTCTCAAATCCAATGAAACTGAAGCGATAATTATACCTTGTTGCGATGTTGGTTATTTTATTGATATTGTACGAGTGTCCTATTTCCTTCAAAGATTTACAATATTCTAACACAAGTTTAGATCTTTTGAAAACATTTAACTATCATCTAATGTCTAAATACTCAAATCAATTATTTCGAAATAAAAGGCAACAACTGCTGTCTAGAAAACATCATAATGAACCACTAGTCGGAAGAAAAGTTTTGAGTAAGATTTCTTGAAAACATGTATTTGCGAAGTCTGTGTAAATCTCGTGACACTTACTTAAAACTGCTTAGTCCAGACTTTTTTTTATAGAGATATAAATAAAGAAACCACAATAAATCTTACGAAATGTAATAAGGTAATTTTAATTACCTTAATTACCTTGATTAATTAATTACTCTATTTTGTAACCCTTGTAAGACCTTAATTAATATTATAAGAGTTATAATTAGTAATTATTTAGATAATTAGACCACGATAAAACAAAGCACATGTAACAGCGTAATTAATATTATAAGTGTTATTGAGAATACAATTTAATATTCGCTAAGGCTTTTATACCTTCATAAACTAATTAAGATTTTGAATATATATTTAAACTATAATCTAGTCTTGCTCTCAATATCTCTCAAAGATATTGCAATCAAATTATTTAAAGGTGGTTTGACGATTAATTATTTACCGATGGTTTTTTGAAACTTCTCATTTTTTGACATAAAATTAAAACCAGTTTCTGCATTAATTATAATGATATTGAAATTCCCAAATATCTCAGGGTATTATTCACAAAACTTATGATCTGATTTTACTATTTACATATATAATTTACTTAAAAATTTGACAATTAGTCTGAAATTCAAATTCTGTGTCATTTTATGTGGTTAGAGGAGCCCAAAAAAGATATTCGGCCAAATCTGAGGTTATAAGATAAGAATATATAAATATATTTAGGAATTGAAATCTAAAATAGGAACTAAGGGCAAAAATTATTCATCGTTATTCAACTTTTTTTCATATTACGCCTTAAACCAGCACACGTATTACTTAATATCTATTAAGTACAATTCAGTAATAGTAATAAATTAACAAATAATTAGGATTGAACTATTAATATCCAATAAAGGATGTTTAAAAAAAAAAAAAATTTAACGCCTTAAATCGTATTACCATTTGATTATAAATGTTATCGATAACTTCACAATAGATATCCCGACAAAGAAATTTTATATTCTTCTGTCCTTCCACCATGCTTAAGGCGTAGTAAAGCTTTTTCAAAATTTCAAAAGTTATATCAAACTCTCTTTTCTCTGCACAACGTAACATTCCCTTTCGATGTTTTCTAAACAAAACCAAATATCAAATGATTTATTTTATAATATCGGTAAAAGTAATATTTTGTAAAACATCGGTTTGAGAAAATATTTTATCAAATCTTGACAAAAATCGTCCCAAAAAGTGACGGAATTCTCTAGCTTTTACTGCATCAAATACCCAGTCGTCAGGTACCTCAATCATTTCCTCAAGAAGATCGATTAAATCATTATAGTGACCCAAACAGTGTTCATCATACGAGATAAATAATCCCATCTTGTTGGCACAGCAATAGGACTATAACTTTAGCTTGTGTGAAGTTTTCCCTGACTTTAGCTTGAAAACCCTTCAAATCACTTGCCATAACTGCGGCACTATTATAAGTTTGCGTGACAAGTTTGTCATTTCAATTCTTCATTTTAATAATATCAATTTTTTTAATATATATGGCAGTCGCTGAACGATCTGAACTTGGGTCCGAATTGATCTGAACTTTTTAGGGTGTACTTGCGTTACTAGTTCCTTTAAGTTCAAAAAACTATAAAATTTAATACAGAGATGCACTTCTGATACAAAAAAAGCTGCACAAGATATGTTAGATATTATATAGTATAATTGTATGTTATACTTATATATGTATTTGGTCTTGAATCTATCTGTTAACTCATAAAAAGCCACTTAAATAAGATCAATAGGAAATGAGAAGAAAAAAAATGTTCATATAATTGACTTTTTTGGCCAACGTCACGCAAAACGATTTATTATCCCAGCGAAGGGAATCCCAACGAAGTAAAGCAAATTTGATAAGGAGATCAGACTTATTGGTTACTTTACAGATCACTGCAACTTGTGATATCATTTAAAAAAATTAGAATTCTCCGATATATCATATTTTTGTGAAATAGACATCAAAAACGCGGAGTTCATTTTTAGTGAATGTCCACCTCTTAGAAAAGAAAGACTGCATTATATAGGTAGTATTCTCTGGCCTTCACATAAATAATGAAACTACAAAAATAAAACTGTGTTAAAATACATAAAACGCATAAACGGATCAAAGGATTAAATGTATTCACAATAGATGTATCCGATGCAGTGCTTTCTGGCCTTCAATGATAATGAATCATTATATAAGTGCTAATGGCTGTATAATTACACCAACTTTTATCATCAACCACAATAAAAATTTATTTAAATATTCAAAATATGACTTGATGTCAAAATATTAAAATTATAAATATATAGAACTGCAATACAAAACTATAAATATTTTAAAAAATAATTATTAAAAGTTTAAAACATTTTTCTTCAATAATTGAACATTCATTCAATCCACTGGAAACCTGTGTAGAACAATGTTAAAACCATAATCATAAATGATAGAGTGGAGGTAGTCCCAGTATTGCAACTGAAATAAAAAAAATTAGAAAGCAATATGAGAGTAACTTATCTGCATAACATATTTTTTAATAGATAAATATTAATAATAAAATCAATAAAAAAATAATATTTAATTTAACACACCTCTCACTTTGTACAATGGGAATCATCACTGTACTCCCGAAACCGTCAACCCCGGGAGGAGCGCTGTCTTCATATTCGGCCAATTTTTTTGAATGAATTATGCGCTTACGTGTTATAATCATAGTAAAGCTATCATAAATTTTATCATTTAAATTTGTATATCCACAAATATACGCATGTGTTTTTGTATTTAATTTTAATACTTTCATAACTACTGCCGGCATTGCGGGATTATTATATAAATGAAACACGATAGTGTATCCACCTGTCGTAACATTGCTACAGACAACTGCACTTACTGTTACATTATCCCAAGGATGAGCTGGTGCATTTGAGTAAGTGGTCTCTAATCTCATGTTATCGTTCGATAATAATGTAAATTTAACTTCAGTACAAAGAAAGCCTGGATCAGGATACCTAGCAACTACATACCAAACACCAGCTAACTAAAAAAAATATTTAAATCAAGAAGTGATGTCCTTTCTTTGCACTACTATATAAACTTACTTAAACTTACATCATTTGGAGTGAAAGAAGTAATGCTGTTCACATCAGAACATTGACCAGCTTTAGTTCGTACTACGTGTTGTATAATCAATAAAAAACAAGCTAAAGCCCCGATCTTTCCAAACATTTTTTATAAAATACTTAAATTAAAATGTTTAAAGTTTATTTAATTAGATTCTCTAAGACCGTTGCAATATATAGTACGTCTGTACTGTTCTCTTGAGACTATTCGTAATACCTTAAACTTAATGAAGTAAATATTAAAAACTGTCTTCATAACTGATAAGTTGTGATAATTTTAAAAAAATAATTTGTTGAAAGTTAACAACATAATAAATCAATAACATAAAATAAAATGAAATAATACACAACACAAACTTGATTGTCCATACTTATAGTAGATATAAACTACCAGGAATATATTTATAAACACGATATATTTATAAACACAATATGTTAATAATGTTAATAATGGCAACAGCATATAAAAGAGTGAAGAAAACATTTAACGAATCAGAAAAAATATCACCTATTTCCTCTTTCGAAAGTATTTCCACAAAAGTATGGGGTAATGCACTAGGGTTACTCTTTCAAGAGAACTGCAAATATTTACTCCAAGCATTAAATCAAAACACCATTATCACAATGCTTTTATAAAAGAATTAGTGCTAGGAAATTTACACAAGCAGTTCCAAACTAAAGAATATCTTAAGTGGAGATATGTTCTGCAGGGAACCCATATGGTTTCATATATGCAAATTTTAATAAAACCATTATACACCAAAAATTATATAATATCCAAGTAAAAATGGACAAGACAGCTCTAATACTAATTGATACTATGATACTGTTAAGTACATTAATTGTAATAAAATGATTGACAGGTTCACAGCTATAACGACCAGTAGACACATTTTTTTTTTAATAATTATAACAAAATTTTATATTTTTAAGTAAATCTTGTCACTCTTATTTAATAACTTTTCATTATTTTCAAGAGAAAAATCTATATATGAAGATATATATGAAGATTATCAGCTTTGTAAAATACCGATTAAACCGAAATATATCCTATACATCACAATTTTCAGAACAAAATCATTATTTATGTTAGACTATTTTCTAGAATTGGAAACTTACTAAACAAACAGAAAATAATATGCAATATTTCTGATCAGTTAATCGGTTTCAGTTATGGGTTTCAGGATTATTTGGATTACGATTAATGAATTATATGACTACTGTATGTACTCGATACTTTTTTAGTACAGTGGTAATAACGTCCTGCTACTGTTTCTTCTGATAGTTATCTTATAGGCAGCAGTGCTATTTTAATCACAATTTGTACATAAATAAGAATTTTATGCATAATAGGCGTCATAGTATACCATGGGTACAGTATTACGTACAGCATTACTTACAGCTTCACTGTATTAAAGGTATATTGATTAAATTTCTCAATATCTATGTGATATATACTTGATATGACTTCCAAAATCAATTTTAAAGGAAAAATCAGATTTGAACCATGATTTCTGCGGATAACTCAGGCTCTGAAAAAAATCGTCTGCTTGTGTTTCCATCATTACTATATCCGAATCCAGGTTAAGGCACATGTACAATAAGAATTTCAATTTCAATTTTTCTCTGCAAAATTATGACTTTGGCACTATCTGAACGTGATTGTCATTCTGAATAGGCAATTTATAGGACAAGTGTAACAGGTTATCAAATAGTCGTACTCTCGCATGCAGAACTAATAAATCTAACGTTAGAGAGTAGAGCTGTAATCATATCATTAAAATTCTTTGAAGTCTTGTTACATATATAGCATTTCATATATAATTCACTTCTTCGTTCGTTACGTCGACTCTTTGTTTCACAAATCGGAACCGGATAGAACGGGCCATCACAAAAACAAAGTTTTAGGAAATTTCTTTTTAATATCTCTACTGGTTTAGAAAATATCGAATTTTGTTTCAAAAACTATCGAATTTCGATCGGTTGATTTCTGGCACACTGTGGGCCGGTACAACCTGACCTAGCCTAAACTAACTTGTAGGCATATGGTATTTAAGTCATGTTTCAACAGTTAATAATAATTTAATATGTGTGTAGTTTGTGTCATATACATTATAAATTAACTGTAAGATTAAGCTTCAGAATGAAATGCTTCTTATGCTTTTGTTAAAAATTAACTGAACTTTAATATCAAAAGTGGTTTCGTACCGAGAACTTTGATGTTAAAGGTAAACCACATTCCACTATCAGTTGAAGTTAATAAAAATAACATGAAATCATTGATTGAATAACAACTCGTAAGATTACTGAGAAAATAATTTTATTGAATTATTTCGTTCACGATCACTTAAACACGTTAACATTATTTGAAGAGTTCTTTTATAACAAAATTTTACTTGGTTACATTGACGTCTGAAGAACCCCAATATATAAACGCTATTATTTTAAGTACTAATATTATAATAATATTATTATTCGAAAACAATGTTTGTATTAAAATATGCTTTAAGTTTATAAAGTAATTAAATTTATTATAATGATGTACTTTTAGTACACAAAAATATTTAAGAAACGATATCGCTGCGTGGGTCATATATCCTACGTGGATACTAATATCTCATAGAGCGTTTATCAACAATTCGATTAAAATTTTAACTTATTTATGTTGTTTACTTGCATATATTATCTTTCAACACCGGTAAAAAATTATTTAAATCTGCATTATCGAAGATTTAATACCACAAAACAAATTATTAATGTGTGGAACTGCAATGAATAATGAAATCTACATAAAAACATTAAAAGTCTGAAATATTTATCTTCAATAACTGAACATTCGTTAAACCCAGTGGAAAGTAGCGTAGAGCACTGTTAAAACCATAACCATAAACGAGAGAGTGGAGGTGGTACCAGCACTGCAACTGAAAAATGAAAATTAAAAAACAAACTGATTATCTAAATTATCTGTATAAGTTATATATTTTTCGTTATAATAGAAAATAATTTTTATTTAAGCACACCTCTTACTTTGCACTACAGCAGTCATGACTGAGCTTCCGAAACCATCAATACCGTGAGGAGCATTATCTTCAATTTCTTTCAATTTTATCGAATTTATTATGCGACAACGCGATAAAATTGAAGTGAACAATTCTTGAGTATCATTAAGTCCAATTGTATATCCGCAAATATAAGCAACTGAGTTAGAATGTATTTTTACTACTTTCATATTTGACGCCGGATTTCTGTTTTTATTCAATACTTTATACCATATATCATATCCCTCTGGCGAGATTTTGCAAGAAACATTTGCACTTTCTGTTACATTATCCCAAGGCTCCAATGGAAAAATTGAATATGTAGTTTGTATATTCATAATATCATTCGGCAATAGTGTAAACTTCACTTGAGTGCAAAGATATTGAGGAGGAGGATATTTTGCTACTTCATACCAAACACCAACTATCTGAAAAATGTCCAAAGCATTATCACATGACATTGTCTAATTTACTGGAAAAGTGATTCCATAAGTATGCAACCTTTGAACTTACATCCTTGGGACTGAAGTTAGTAATGCTTTTTACAGAAATACAATCATCAGCTTGAGTTTGTACTATCTGTTTTATCATGAATAACAAACATACCAAAATATTGATCTTCTCCGACATTTGTTATGAAATATTTCTATAAAAAAAATTTATAATATATTTAATTATATTGTTTAAGACCATTGTAATGCATACCGCAAACGCTATGCTTAAGACTGGTCTACAAAAGCTTGATAATGTTTTAAACTTTATGTTGCAAATATTAAGAAGGAACTTCATAATTGATTAGTTGTAATATATGAGTTAACACATTCTAATACAAAGTGAAAACGATAAATTAATGACATACGAAATTAAATGAATTAATACACTTTGGAAACTCGATTATCCGTACTTGAATTAACAGGTACGGATAATTATTAAGTATTAAAAATCGGGAAAGCTGACAATTAAACTGTCAGATAACAATGTCCTTTTATTGAAAAACAGACATTGTTAGCAAATTGTAAAAATTTATTTTCAAAAAAGGAGTTCAGAAAACATATTTCAATCAGGCTATTAGATTGTCTTTAGCTTCAGTATCTCTGTTACTAGAAAAAATGATCAAGATCAGACAGGTTTGTTGAGCAATGTCATGTAGAGTAAAGATGCAAATTGGATTTGGTTAATCAGAAATAGGTTCGCTTACTCATGACGAGTGTGTGTTTATAAAGTAACTATTTCCTGTTTAAAATTAAATCAGAACACTGCTTACAAATAAGATCATTACAATAGTAATCCCCTCAAAAGGCACTTTATGGTAAGAGTTCAGAGTTCTCATCTTTTATTCTCTGTGTAGGTGGCTTATTATCACTACCGACCGTATATTGCTGAAATAAACTTGGGAACAGCTAAGTATTCTATACTACGTATACACTCAATAGATTTTCTATATCCTTACACCATCAGCAGCTTGAAAGCAAATAAATCTGAAGAGGTTCAAAAGACAGCTGTTAAAAAAACCTTCGACCACAAATGGGATTTTAATATTTTCACTTGTGCATTTATTTGGCAGTATTGTTGTATATTTTTTTATATGATTATCTAGTATTGTGTCTTATTTTGTTTGAAACTCTTTATCGAAAATTCTTAAACAATATCAGAAAAATTGCTGCTTTTAAGGCAACAAAGGCTTTATGCACTACTCTGATCATAGCATTATTTGTTCTTCTTAACCGGTCATTAATCGACCTTAGGGTTCAACAATAGGCCCTTACTTTTGAATTCAAACCTCACATTATGTGTAGATGGTCTAGGGTAGATATTGGACACTCTTCGATACTAAACTATGGTCCTATAATCACTACCTATATTGATTCCTGTAGTATGCCGCCTTTATTTCATCACAACATTTTTACATATGTCTCCAAATAAACTGGTCAAGCGGCAACACAATTCCAAATGAGTGCTTAGAGATTCATACACTCTGCTGAAAACTTGATAGCAAATTAGGCATTAGTATATTGTCTGAAAAACTCAACCAAAAACTATTTTTTCGGCTAGGAGATCATTGCAGTGTTTTTTAGACAAAAGTTTACACTATCCGTGGCACAATAGTTTCGCTGCAATGAATATATAATAATAAACATACAGTCATTAAGTGTCAGGTAACCTGAAAGCGTAAAGTTTAGTCTCCACCTTATCTGATTTTGATCATAGAATAGTTCGACTGATATTCCATATATTCGGGAAAATGTGGGAACTACATTATGCAATTTTTTTAGAAAATTCAGTGCAAAATATTTAAAAAATCCACTTAATCACACACATATTAGGGAAAAAAAAAATACAGAAAGATTTTAGGTGGCTATAAATATGATCTTTTGCCAATTTTTGCAGTGAATAACACAACACTCTAAGTCATCTCCATCTGAGACAATTGCAACTACATCTGAAATCATTACCACACGACATTAGGAGGAAGTCTTATTTAAATAAAATATATTGTAAAGAGAATACGAACCTTAGTCTTAAGAAATATCTACTGCTCAAGAAGGGTCTCGTTAATTCGTCCTGGGTATTTATTATGCAATATACTGTACAAAACAGTCCCACCCGGTTATTTTGCCAATTGCACTCAAAATGCTGAGGTATTAAACAGTAAGTAATTGAAACATATATATACATATTATATAATTTATGTTATATGGTACAAAATATTATCTGTTAATCGTATCAAAACTTTTTCTAAATTTGCAAATAAATATACGGAACTCCAACACAAACACATAATTCTCTAAAACAAGTATTAGGTTAGGTCAGATTATTCCGGCGATCCTAAGAGATCTACTTAGGCCTAACGGTCTATTGTGTTACCGTATAATTAAAAAATAATAAGTATTTAACTTTTAAAACATTTTTTTCAATAGCTGTACACTCTGAAAAACTACGTAGAGCAGTGTTAGGACCATAACCATAAATCATAAGCAAAAGTGGAACCATCTGTAATATAAAAATTAAAAAACAATAAATATATGATTATTCAAATTATCTGAGTAATAAATTTTCTTTGCTATAATAAAAAAATCATTTTTATTTTAACCTATTAGTTTGAGCCACGGGAGTGGTTAAAAGCTTTAATGTCAGTGGGACCTATTTTTATATTTAGCCAATATTTTTGAATGTACTATAAATGCTCTGCCGTTATAAAATTGTTGTAAAACTGGTAATATTAACTTTACCTGTTAAACTCCACAAATATATGCACATGTTTTTGGATGTTGTTCTAATTATATTGTTTAGTTCTTCATATTGTTCTTTTATTGTTGCTGTGGGTTCAGTATATACGGAATATGATAAAGGATATCTAGATGTCGTGCCCATACTAAAGAAATTTACAGTTTTTCTTCCATTATTCCAAGGACATATTGAAGCGAGTAAGTAATGTAATTTCATAGTATCATCTGGCAACAAAGTAATCTTAACGTCGGTACAAGAACATATAGGAGGAAGATGTCTTAAAGATTATCACCAAAAACCAGTTAATTTAATAACGATTACACAATTATTAATTATGTAATTAAATGCAAAAGGAATATAATTTCAATGCAGCATAAAACCCTTAAACTTACAACATCTGAAGTAAAATTAGTAATGCTGTCCACAGTACCACAACTATCAGCTTGAACTTGTACTATCTGCTGTATCGTTAATAACAAATATACCATCCTGCTAATCTTTTCCAACATATATCATAGAATGTTTCTATAAAGAATATGTAGTTAATTTAATTAAATTGTTTGGGAACGTTGCAAAGTGTACTTCAAATCCTTTAATTGAGACCACATAATAAATATTCAACAATGCTTTGAATTTTATGAGAAAAATACAAATAAAAAACTTTTTGGTGAATGGCATATGAAATTAAATGAATTAATATACATCACAACCTAGATTATCCATATTTAAATATAAAATTACAGGAAGTATCTAATATCCAAGAAAGAAGAGGGAAACTATTCTTGATTTATGTAAAGAAATCATTAATATATTTTTACTAGACTAGGCGCTAATAGAAACGTACTATAAACGTTCTGCTTACTTAGTAAACTTCACTTACTAAGAAAATTTCATTACCTATACATTACCTATTCTTTACATAAAGCTTCCGTGCTTTTTCACTTACTTTAAAATATAGTAAACAAAATTCAACTAAAATTATAATACGTTTACACTGCTTACTTAGTAAGCTTAACTTACTAAGTAAATTATAATCCTCAAGTCGTTAACGAATTATCATTAAATTAAATATGATAATGTGCCTTAAATTTTTTCATTTAAGGTTTTAATGCTTCTACTACATTATATTCGTATTTGGTAATATTCTACTTTCGGATAGTGATCCTAATACAGTACATTCAAAAAGATATGTATGTTGATTACGTTTTTGTAAAAGTATTTCCACCGAAATTCACTTATATTATCCAACCGTTGAATCAATATGCAGCATGAAGCAGAAACTAAAGATCGAATACCATAAAACGTCAACAAAACAGAAAAAGTTAGTTTAACTTTTGTTAGAGAACATAGAGAGTTCTCTTTTCAAGCAAAACTGAAGGTTAGTTGGTATGTACTGTAAAAATTTAAATCAAAGCCTGTGTATTTGATAGAAACGAATTAGACAGAAGCGACGAACTTTGTTTATTTTGTTCCTGTCAAAACACAGGTGTGGTTGGATATGTATTTCTCTTTGGATTAAGTTCGCTTAAGTTCTTACGGTACATACCGACTAACTGAGCCTTGAAGTTACTTTCGCTCTTTTTAAGAAACGAGCGCCTATTTATTGTCTATCATAATTGAGAAAAAACAAAATTGACGGTTGTTGAAATGAGTTGTATTGATAAGCAAGAACAAAACATTACTCCGCAATGATATATAATTGCTCTTTTACATGCAATAAGTACCTTATGTCAATGGAAGCGAGAAAATGTTGATTTTATATAAGTAACTTACTAAGTAAGCAGGGGTAACATGGTATAAAGAAGATTAATTGTTAAACGCTTGTGCTAAAACTGTTTTGCAAAACTTCGATCTGGCAATTTTGATGTTGTAGATGTACCACATTCTTGAAGACTAGCTTAAGTTGATGAAAACACATTAAAGGCATTACTGGATGCAAAACGACAGGTAGCAACACAAGAGAACACTTAGAAAATAAATTTATCAAATTCAACAGTTTCTGATTATAAAAAAGACCTAAATTTTAATCTTAAGGTAGACACCTTCTAACGGAAAGAAATTTGTGCTATTGCGTTGACGTTTGTAATTTGCTTTTTAAACGTTAAAAAAATGATCCATTGGGAGGAAGATATATGTGGCCTACAATGTCAGTGTTAAGTACTTTCAAAAGTGAAATTCATAAAAAAGTGATAAAACAATTATGTTTCTATATCTTCTACCGAAAAACACAGTGGTGTATTTTGAAGTGTTCTGTTATCCGCTGAATAAATTTGTTGATTTATAAAAAAGATGTAGTATTCCAATAAGATAATGTAAGGCTCCATACAAATTGTCCAAATCACCAAAAGAGAGCTCTGCAGTAGTAAACAACACAATATTATTTAATTCAATATTTGGCTGACCATACAGCTGTTTCGAGTATCGCCAAACATTCATCATCAGTAGTCTTGAAATTATTTCTTGCATTTAATTATTTATAAATATTTGATTTATATGTTCGAACTTGGAGCTTTGTTGATTTGCTATAAAAATCTATTAACAAACTTACTTTTTGTGTTATATTAGAACAAAATCAGAAACCAGCTATAGATTTACTTATTTACATAGTTGGCCATTACACACGTGAGTCGTTCTTGACCTCGTCGAGTAGCCTGTGGCTGACTCTTCGTTTTCATTGGAAGAGGATGTGAACAGTAGTTACGACGACAGTGATGATTATTTTACTTAATAGAAATAATTGTTTTTAATGAGGAGGTTTTGAACAGTAGTGAAATGCAACATCAAAATTTTTATTATTTTAATTAAGTTTTTGGCTGAACAGTTGTTTTAAGTATTGCCCATAACTCATCATAAGATTTCGAAACAACTAAGAGCAACTACTAGTACTAACACTGTAAATGCTATCATATCAAGCGATGACATTTCTATATACCTATATGTGTATATACGTAAGTATACTTTTTAGGAAATATCTGGAGTATCTGATGCTTACTTTAAGTGCTTAAAGCCTCAAAATTAATTGTAGTGACGCATTTATATTTTGAGGAACTGTGTTACTAGTTGAAACAGAAACGTTCAGTTAAAATGTTTTTGGATATATTATATAAATACTGATATCTTTAAAAAGTATTTATTTATAATTCCAACAAAATTATTTACTTTCGTATTTTATCTTTTGCCAAGTGCAAAAATTTTTTATAATTTCCAGTATAATTTAATGCAAAGATAAAAAAATGTTTGATTGTGTTAAGTGGAACTCATGTCCATTGTCATGTTTATTCATATGTTAATATTTATAAAAAAACATACATTAATATAAAAACTTTAAAATTTTGTGATAATTTCTGATCACATAGTTGAGTGTTTACTGAACCAAGTGGAACATTGCATAAAGCAAGGCAAGAACCACACCCATAAATGAAACTGTGGAAGTGGCACCATTGGCATAGCAGCTAAAAATTAAAAATTTTATGATTATAAAATTATAATAATGAAATTTATATAAATTGTTATTGAATTTTTTTTAAACAAATATAATTTTTATGTTTCATATCAACAAACCTCTGAGTCTGCGATATTGGAGTCATCACTGAACTACCGAAACCAACGAAATTAGGTGGACCACCATTTTCATAAGCAGTCAAAGTTGTAGAATTCAATATGCGTTGACGTGATAAGATTACGTCAAAAAAGGTGCTAGGATCACTACCATTTGAGTAACCACAAATGTAGGCATTCGTACTTGGATTTAGAGCTAGTACCTTAAAGGTTAGGGTCGTCTGCGATGGTGTGTTATATAAGTAATATGTTACATTGAAGCCATATTGTGAAATAGTGCTAGTGACATTTGCAGTTTCTGTTACGTTAACCCAAGGATATGATGGAGAATTTGAGTAGGTGGTCTGTATGTTCATTATATTGTTCGGCATTGATGTGATGTTGACTTGAGTACAAAGTACGCTTATGAGCGTAGCAGGATTCCTTGCTACCTCATACCAAACACCGGACAACTGTAAAATTTTAACAATATTATAAAATAAAATTCATTAGTACTATAATCAGTGGGAGCCCTGAATCTTACATCACTTAGTGTAAAGTTAGTAATGCTTGTGGCATTATTGCAATATACTGGTGCATTGGTTTGAGTTTGTGCTAAAACTTGTTGTCCCAGTAATAACAAAACAGCTAAACAAGCAAGTCTTCCCAACATTTTTATATTATAGAGCACTTCAATAAAAACTTTTATGAATTATTTTATATAATTAATTTACGCCGTGGTTACCGAGTACTGCAGACAGTACACTCAAGACTGAACTACGAAATTGATCAGTATCATAAATTATATGAAATTACTATTAATAAATACCCTTATGATTAATTACATTATTTATCTAAATCCTTAAAATTTGATATCACAATTTTAAGTTCATTATTACTCATTTGAATATAAATAATTATATACAATATTTACATAAACGTTTATCGAAAACTAAAAAAATAAGATAAAAAGAAATAAAATAATTTAATTTCAGTTATAAATTCGGTGCTTTTTACAAGTTTCCGTAGATAGTGTGTACTTTTAATGTTCTATAGATATCCTAAATAAGTAGTGGATATACGAGTTAATACTGATTACCAGAACCCCAATAAAATTTTATGCAAAATCTTAATTTAATTTTAAGTACGCAGGGAAAGTCTTATGATACTCAAGAACTTGACAATTTGAGCGACATGTGACATTCAAACTACAAATCTTTTCAATACCACATTAGACTAATTAACAATAGTATTCATGCACTTATACCCGTATACTATATAGCTATGTATGTCTATTAGATATTGTGAAAGAGTATGCAATACCAAAAAAACAGAAGTTAATGAAAATTTGTAGAGAGTCTTATCATGGCTTTTGTACATGAAAAACTGATAAGGGAAATTTTAAAAATATTTGTCAATAAGGGCCGCTTGCACTTGTAACGCAAAACGCTTTACGACCGTTTGCCTACACAATAATAAAACTATTTCATATGACACAAATTTTTACATTAATATTTTTAATTAATATATTATTATTATATTGTAAAACAAAATCAATTCTGGCATTATTCCGATTTTCCGTGCACTCCCATTTGAGAACGAACTTTAGCAAAGGTAGCTATTTTGAACAAATGTCTCCAGTACGCTTGATTTACTGGAAAAATTGAGTGTATAATTTAATTTTTCCTTAAAAAAAAAACTACTGTATATCTAAGAAGTAGTAAATTTTATTTTAATCAAAATATTTTTCATGGTTAGTTAAGACTTTCAACTACATTTGTAGCAATTTGTGAATTCCCAGAGTAAAAAGTTGTTTGTTTTCTAATACTAATTAATAAGCCTAAATGGATCTCTTTGGTCCACCGGTCAATCCAACCTAACCTAACTTTCATGCGATCCATTTATTAAGCCTTTTATTGATTTCTTCGTGGTCCTGAATTACTGGCCTTCAAGAGCGCTTTACATTGAACGGAACAAATAGTAATCTTATAAAATACTGGTGATACTCAGACGCGAGGCGTCGAATGGTTCAGAGTGTTCACTGAACACCTTAACAAAGCTTTCTTTTTAGATCTTTTCTATATTAGGTAAATAATCTCGCTATTTTGTAACTTAACATTTTTTTTATTATAATTAATAAAGGAGAAAATACATTCCTCTTAAAATATACTAAGGTACAGAATAAAAAATGCACCGTCATTAAATGCAAAGTCATTATTGCAATTTTATACCCGTAAATGGTAAAAGTAAAGAAAAAAATTAAAGAAATTTGATTTGATTTGATTCAAATATCTTTTTTTAAACGATCTTCTGAAAAAAATATTTTTATTCATAAAATGAATAGACCAACTCCAGATATGAAGAATTTGGTACCTGATGTAAAAATATCAAAATCTGTGGTAAGTCGCCGTTTTCCTACAGTTATTTACCATAAAAACCAGTGGATCACAGGCTGCGAACTTGTACGCTATTTGCTTGTGGAAAAGACAAACTCAGGAGTAGGGGGAATACATTATAGTTGGAATTCTGTAATGAACATATTGAAAAATTAAGCACCTAAGGAATTCATAGATCAGTAGGATAATATTCATGCATCAATGTTTGCAACACATTTTAATTCTTTGAATTAAGTTTAACATAGTTATACGTCAACTAGGGACACACCCCTCTTAAAGGTTATCGATTAAGTCTATGATATTATTTTGACTTATCGACAACTACAAATGCAAGGGCTTATTAAAGCCACAGGTCATATTGACTTTAAACAAAACATTATTTAGATCGATAATGGAAGCATTGGCGGAACAGGTATTAAGAATGCTGTAACTAAATATGTGAAAGTTAATCACGATTCGTTTTAACGTCAATTTATTATAAAATAGGGATTATTAGATAAAATCTTTACTGATTTTACAGAATGAATTAGGTTCTACAAAAACACATGCCATACAGATGACTACTGTAGGAGTGATATCCATTGCTCCTTGGTATTGTTTATTTATATTATCCTCGAATGAAAAAATAATTGGAGACAAATATTATTCTTACTAATTAAACGTAATATTTTGACAAAAAGTGAACAACATTTACTTCCATCAAAAAAACAAATAAATAAACTTCATGAATCCGACATTTTTTTCTCACTCACTCTATTCTCGAAGTGATAGATAATTTCTATATTTTCACTTAATTATATTTCTTTTAATTTAATTAGGCAAACATGACTAAAAAATTTTATTATTTTATTTGATCTTATATTTTTCATTCATTCATTTCGAAATAATTTATATAAAAATAGTGATAATTATGGACAATCAGTTTTAAAAAATTCCATCGCTACAAAAATTAATTAAATTTATTAAATAAAGAATGTCATAATTTAATTAATTCGCAAATAAAAAACAAATTATTTCCGATATAATCAATCGCAAGTAAAAATAAATTCAATTTTCGAAGAAAACGAAAATATTTATATTTTTTGTTGTTGTAATTTTATGTCAATTTCGCAAAGCTACAAGAAGATAAGATATATCGGTAGGTAGGTTGCGGTCAAAGATAAAAATATATTAAAGTTATTGTTTTATGGATATAATCATAGCGTGGTATTGTTAGTTCATAAAAAGTACATAAAAATCAATGCAACGATTTAAGATTACAAAAATCAATAAAAACTCATTAAAAGGGTAAATGTACTAATTTCCGAACTCTTAGACCCTGAATGAGAGAAAGTGATATATATGAGTTGTTTGTAAAATGAATGTGCTTAATGGTTTTGATAATAAATCTGGCACAATACTCATAATAGACACTTTTAGTATATATTATTAATTTTAATTGCTTTATGTAGTTATTTTTAGATTAATTGTTGATATAAATTGGTTATTATACTCAATCAAGTACTTAGATAAGTTAACTACTTGATTTTTACTTAATCGAAATCAGATAACATGGTTTATAGTAGTCTTTATAAGTTTGGATAGTGAAAATTTCATTTTCACTTTTTTTCACTTTTTTTATTTTTATTAAGAAAAAAATTATCCAAAATGCTTAATACTAAGTGTTAAAAATATTCGGTATTTTCTGAACCAGTAGAGATATTGAAAGAAAATTTTTTTTAAGTGTAGTTTTTAGGTTGGGCCGATTTTTGATCGTCCTTTTTTTAAGCTTGGTACACTGTGCCCCACTTCAGTAATGTAACTGGTAATCGTAATGAATAAACATTTCTTTATTTCTTTATTTGCTTTAAGTAACCGGAAAAAATGATGAAGGAAAAATTCTTTTTGAAATAATGGGTTGATTTGCTAAACTTGCTTCTTTTCTCTTCATTGAAACTTCTTCAAATTAAGCTTCATAAAATGAACAAAGCTTTTAAAATATCAGCTTATAATTTATATTAAGTCTTGCTTTGTTTTATGGTTAGTTGGTTCACTCCTCTACCATCCAAGCGCTGTTCTGAGACTATACACCCAGTCATGAAAAGCTAAGTTTTAAAATTAACCTGTACTGTTGATAATAGAAATTAGTTTTTATAAAGCTATATTTAGTTTGTTTGCTAGGCTCACTAGTTCGTAGACTTCTTTTGTGAAATATCTTAGCCTTGTTAGACGTGAACATTTGCAAAAAGTGTTCTGTTGATTTTTTCTCTTCCTACCTACTAGTTACACTTCCACCAGCCTTACTACTTCCATTTTGGCTTTGCCACATAAATTTTGTTCTCGCTAAATTATAGCCTAGAAATGTTAGTTAGTAATATTTACAACCCAACGTAGTTTTTCATTTAAGCTCTCTTTTACGCAAGTCTTAAAAAATGATTATAGATCAACATTTTTCATTAAATTGAAACTCTATTCAGTGTGCTTCTGATCCTTATTTAGGTACTTCATCAGCAATTTAATTTTCTTGTATTAGTTGGTGTCCTGGAACATACGGAGTTTTAATTTTAATTTTGTACTATAGTTGCACCCCACAAGAATAGCAGGTCTGCTGTCGAAAAAAACTGTAATTTGTTAATTTTATATATTATATTCCCAAATCCGTCGACCCTCGTGTTTGTTAAGAATGGCTTGGAAGACAATAGACCCGTTCAAAAAGTGAAAGGGTCTGCTTATGTCGTTTTGAAGTAAAAATCTATAAACCATCCGTAAAGATATATTAATCCATTTAGCTATGTCAAATCCTTATATACTGAATGACGAGACAAATTCCTGGTTTGTTTTATAATAAACTTAATATTTGAATTAATTGCTTCCACTAATTGTTTCGTCGAAATTAAATTAAATTCTAAAAATTTTCTCCATTTATTAGTGAAATTACATCATTAACACTTTTCCGAAATATTTAAATCTAATCTCTTGTAATATAGGACAGATTGCCATGAAATGTTGGACGTCTTCAATTACCTCAAGATTGCAAAGTGTGCAGTCTAATTCTATTTGTATATTGGTCTGATTTTTTTTTTTTGTTTTTGCGGCAAGAAGGAATGGAATGCCTACGCACTGACCACAATTCGGCGCCCCGGAAGGTGAGTCCCCGACTCGCACGGACTAAACCAGTCCCCCTCATTCCTAGAGACCTTGTTCTACCCCAGGACTACGTTAGTATTACTTCCAGGTAGAGTCCCTATTAGTCATTTAAGACTTCCATCGGTGTGCCCTGCGTCCAGGCCCCGCTACTGTTACAGATAATTAATCTTGCCCTACAGACTACTTTTTTCAATCTCAGAGTATGTGTTCCGGCTCTCACTCCTGCTCTTCGTTTAAGATTAGATTGCGTCCAGATCTTTCTTCTTTTCCCTTAAAATATTTCCGATGAAAAATGTGCAGTCTAATTCTATTTATATATGGTTCTGATAGAGATATATAATATGTTTAACTTAGTATTTCAATTCGACCCAGAAATTTAGACATTTTTATGTCAAAATTATTTTTAAATATTTTTTTATTTGCTCAATTTCAAGTGTTGGTTAAAATAAAAGACTGTGCGCTATCTGGTATGCTATCTGGTCAAAACCAATGTTTATTGGAGTGGCAAGAATGTGTTCCTGGACGAATACCTCGAAGACACCTTGTATGTATTCATCAAAGAAATTTTTAAGAGATATGTATAAATTAATTTCTAATAAAAAATTAAAATAGTTATAATGACACAATAATTATTACCAATTTAATAAAAACTTTTAAGAGAAATGGTTGATTTAAATCTACATATGTTATATATCAAATAAACAATTTTTAAAAATGCAAGGAATCTAAGTATCCAGAAGTGTTTTTCATAACTAAGTGTGGAAATTTGAAAAAGCAACGAATGACAATGATTAAGTTAATTTATTTAACTGTAGTTTATGCGTTAATTTTTATTTTATTAATAAACTATTACAATGACTTTTTCTGAAGGACTGACAAAAATAAAAATTGATAAAATTCCAATAATAAGTGTTAATACTGGACTCACACGATGTGTTTTGTGGTAATTTTAACTGTCAAAAATTTTCATTTTGAATTGAGAGCAACAATAATTGACAGCTAAAATTACAAACAAAAATCTCGTGTGAATCCAATATTATGTTGGTTTCGTGTGTTAACACACGGATCCACAGTTCAAACGTGATATAATTCATTTCCTGATGCTTGCAATCAAGCTTATAAATCAATAGAATTTACTAGATTCCACTGTAGGTGGATATTTAGCAATATTCAAAACGGCTGTATGGTTAGCACAAGAATCCACTTGATTATAAAATTTTGTTTGAATTTAAAAATTTCGTCACTAATTTATTTGGAGTACCATAAAAATTAAATAATATTTTACCATAAAATACAACAAAGAAAAATTTGCCTAATTGTGGTAGATTAGAAACATGTCGCGGGCCGCATGAGGCTTATGGACCGTGCTCTGGACAGCCCTGGATTAGAGAATTTCAAGTTCAAAAATAATATGAAAATTAGAATTGCGTAAAATCGTTGTATTACTAATTAAATTTATAGATAAATTTCAAATTAAAAATTATCAGTATTAAATACATTAACTGTAATCTTTATAAAAAAAGAATAAGAAAATTTCTTATTGTAATTACCGATAACTACCACATGGTAACAGGTATATTTGAAATGGGATTTAAGTAATGCTGTTGACAATCAAAAACAAATTACATCAAAATTATATCAAAAGTAGTTAACTGTATTTAAATTACAATTATTTCTATATTAATTAAACAATAAACTCGTATTTTGGTACTAAGTTTGTTCAACCCCAGTTATTACGAATGTAGATGAATGCTACCTGCAAATTATAGCCACAAATCGCATCCACATTGACTTTTCCAAAAAATTCAGTCACCTGCTTCTGCACAGGACTCAAATGCCTTGCATTTTTTTTCCATGCAAAACACATTTACTTCTCTAACAATACAAGAGTAATTAATTCTTATCTTTAATATTAGATAAATATTAAACCAGCTTTTTGAATATCCGCGTTATAACTTCAAATAGAATAAAACTCTCTTTGATTTCTGTAACGATAGACTAGTGATACATTTTGAACAAGCTTCGTCATAGAGTTTGCCTTTGAAATCCCGTAAAAGCAACCAATCTGATCAATTTGATTGAAACTAAAAAATAGGAAATATTCTTAGCTCAAACTAATAAAAGGCTTGATATATAGTACAGTATGATTATTAGCATTTCTTCATGGCTACATGCTCCTTGGCTAAGATATAAAAAAAGCTAAATAAAAAATACAGATGTATAAAGCTAGTAAAGGATTACAAAGCTATAAATAAAGTCCAATGAGTGTATATCTAACAGTATTATAGATAATCGAAAAACAAAAACGAGTGTAATAACAAAAGAGTACAAATAAACGATTTTGTATGTTCAGTTTAGTTTATATTTTTTTAAGATCCTGGATTTTTTTAGTAAAAATTAAAAGGTTTCAGAAACGTTACAATAATTTTATATAGATTAAAAAAATAACTGAACTCTTCTTTCGCCGTGGTATACAGATCATCATACTTTTCAAGGTCTACAAAGATTTTGGAACAAGTAGATACAGTTTAAACAATTCTGTGCTTTTATTTTAATATCAAAGTATTAAATATATTAACCAACCAACAGCTAAAACGTTTTTAACTTGATATTGACTATAGAACTATAAAGTAACTTTAACTGAATAAAACTGCTTTTCAACACCTGTATGATCTGTCCGGATCACTCAGACATTATACTAACTATACTAACACGCTACAAAGGTGATGAAATAATCTTCGATCAGCACATTTGTTGTTACTTTCAATGTAAATCAAAAAATTGAAGACTACGAATGTAACAAAAATGTAGTGATCGAGAATCATTTGAGCACCTGAGTTACATGTCGCTTCGAATTAGTATAAATTCGAAGGGATCGATTATCACATTTATTATTATTTTCAAAGAAAATTCAAAAACTGAAGCATTCGAAAGCAATAACAAATGTGCTAATCGACGATCATTTGATCGCATTTGTAATATAACTCTAATAAGACTAAACAATAACGAAGTGTTAAACAAAGATGACTCAGAAAAATGTATTAACTGGTTACATATATAATATAAAAACGAAATCATATATCAAATTTAAATGAGCTAATAACACTACTAAGCTAAGGTGTTTATTACTATTGCTCCTTATAATTATTATTCCTTATTATTATTACTCCTTATTAAATTGTATGATAATTTATTTCTAAGCATTGTTTTAAATAAACTAAATAAATACAATATGTCCCAAATTTAACACCAACCACTCGGACAGAAATCGTCAAAGCAATCAATTTAATAGGTAAATTAATATAATGGAATAGACTTCTATATTGACAAAATTAAATTTTTATTATCCATTAATATGGGTATTGTTTGTATGTAGACCGATGAAATTTTAAAGAATATGCATGAGTAAATTCTATGATTTAATTATAATTATACTTCTAATTTTTCTAATTTGACGAAATTTGATAAATAAACGTCACCATTCATATTTAATCTGAATAATTGTGATCCCTAACAGTCACTGACTGTTCTTGAGTATAGTTTATTATAGAGATATCTGAAGAGTTTACAATATTTTTCTTTTCTTTTTATTATCATATTGTAGACAATAATATAAATTCGAAATAGTAAAAAAAAATGTACTAATATTTCATAATGCTTCTGCTACATATGTTGAATAACAACCTTACTACGAACATATGTACCGGCAGATGCAAATCTCACAGCTTACAGTGTGCTAAAGTGTTAATTACAATACAAAAGAATCTGATTGCGATGAATTTTTAGTCAAACATTAGCGACATACTCGTATAGATCAAATTAATAAACTACATTTGCACCTAATATTAATGACACTTTATCACTTCAAATCATTGTCGATTCGGTTGTGATAGGACAAAGATCTAAAATATAAATTATCGGTTTACAGCTTCTAAACTTTATTTTATTTTTCCAAATAAAAATAAAATTTTTATCCAATAAATACAGATAAAGTCAGTTTTCACTCATAAATTGAATGAAAATTAGTGAAATAAAATGAGTTTTAATGAAATGATTGATGAAAATCTAGAAGAACAGTTTGTAGATGTCAAGAACAAACCTACGATTGTGCCAATTTTTAAAAAAAATTTTACGTTAGGCAAAAAATCTGCAACCTTCGGTGGTAAATGTAAAAAAGCTTTTAAACATCGTTTGCAGATATTAAATTGGATTTTTGACTACAATACGGAATGGGGTGTGAAAGATCTCATAGCGGGAATTACCCTTGGCCTCACCATAATACCGGAGAGCATTGCTTGTGCACTGTTAGCTGGTTTGCCTGCACATTATGGACTTTGTTCAGCATTTATTGGTCCCTTCATTTACCTATTCTTCGGTTCAATCAATAAAGTTATAATCGGTCCAACAAGTCTGGTTGCTTTGGTTAGTGTACAATTTACAGTTGGTAAACCAATTGAATTTGCAGTTCTTCTTACATTTTTAAGTGGCATTGTCCAGCTGATAATGGGCACTTTGCGTATGGGTGAGTGTGATTAAGACGAAATTAACACCATTCTTCATTATGTTTTGATATATTTAAATTTACTTATTTTATAATTAAAAATAGTTTAACCAGTTAAAGTACTTTCAATCTATTCAAAAGTATTGTATGTGGGAATTATGGTACATTTTGCAACAACAAGTTTTTTATAAAAAATTTTTTATTGGTTACGATATTACGTTTTTTATAATTATCGACTATATAATTTGTTATCAAAATAATCGACATTTCATAAGAATTACAATGAAAGCTCTCATAAACAGACATATTTATTATATATGCATACTATATATGTTAGTCCATAGGTCTTATTTTTTATACAAAGTGTTTTCTATTAAAAATATAGCTTGCTTTACTGGACAAAACTTTTAACCCCTTAATAGCCGGTCTAAGACAATGTTTAATGTGCTTCATTAAATTAAATTAGTTCTAATTAAATTAAATTAAATTTAAAAAAAATAAATTTCAAATCCGCTTGAATATGAAGCGAATGGAACAACACAAAGTAATTTTTTCGATTTTATGAACATTTCTCCAAGACGAAATCTCAAAAATTATCATTTTCTTTTCGTCGCAACATGTTTTCAATAATTTTTTTCATTGATCGAATTTAAGTGTGAATATAGTCGCTAAGTATCGTTTTGTGATTTAATTTTTACACAAATATTTATAAAATAAATATTTAATACACTGTTGCAAATGAGAACTCAATTTCGATCACGGATACTTAATATCATCATATGCAACAACAATACGAGCTGACTTCACATACTACCATACCTGTTTATTTCATAAAAATCGTTGTTAATGACTTAACACTGACGCCAATGACTGATAACACTGATATCTATATCTGTATCCGCATGCGTTCCGATAGACTATATTTGAATAGTATTACATTAGAATTTAAGACCGGAAGTCTCAGTTTTTGCCATATTTTCTGATCTTGGTCCAAGAATATAATCACTTAAATATTTCTATGGATCTTTTTAAATGGTTTAAGCAAAATAAGGTATACTTTTTGCGCAGAAATAACTATAACACATGGATCTGTCATTATACGGAACCGGCAATCAAAACGTCAATCCATTACTACGCCCTGAAAACTAATAAACAAATTAAACCAGTGGATTAAAAAAGGTTGAAGGAAAAATGGCAAAAACTATAGTATTAGTCCAAAAGGACATGTCTGCAAAAGCATTTCTTGATAGACTATAACAAAAGGAAAAAATTAAACATCTTAATTATCGAAAAAAAAAATCGCGCTGATTTGGTGACTAAAAACGTTTCAGGTTACCAAGGGAAGGAACCTGAATTACTATTGCTAACATACGAACCCGGAGAGCCATCCTTAACGTACACTAAACATACTAAATAAATGAGTATAGAGGTATTATTTAAAGAATAACCTCAATTGTAATTGTAAAAAATATATTCATCAGATCAAACATCCCTAAGGCAGTTACCTAACTTAACTGAAAGACATTTACCAATTTGCTGACTTTTGCTGATATTCTTTATGTATTTTGTATTTCTGCTCAACGACTTCAACTTCTCTTTTTTTTAGAACTATATCAATTTCTTATCATGGATAACCAAAGAACTTCTGTCACTATAATTTTTCAAAATAAGCGAATCTTTAATCCATTTTTACAAATGCAAAAGTATTACCCAGTACTCACGTTTTAATTAAACGTATTTTCGCTAAATGGTTAAGGGTTCTTTTCCCAAAAAAATATCGATCCCAACTGACTTTCACTAACTCGTTTCTTTATAAAATGAGTTATTTATTCTCTTATTGAGTTATTGAAGTAATTAAATGTAATAATGAAACTATAGTCAGACGGACGATATGATGTACAGTGGACTCCATTCACACGACGAGGAAATTTGGAATATGCTGACAATACCAACTTTGCTAGTCTATATGAATTATATTTAAACTTTTTATTGGCCGGTCTATAATTGATAAAGAAAAAAATTAAATCATATGTAGTGAACTGCATCTTTTCGGACACATTACAACCAATAAAAGAGGAACATAGGACGATGTTATTGTTAGATTAAACAGGTACTTTTATTAAGCTTGGAAACGCATAGAGCTAGTATAAAATATTCAACTCTACAAAACTTCCCATTTCCAACAAAATTGAAGTTGGTACTAAAATAAACATCCAACATATGAATTTGAAACTTGGAAAAATTTTACAACCCATAATTCGGACTTTTACAAATCAGTATCAATAAAGAATCTTGCACATCTAGTGCCTTCGAAAAGATATCAGACATCGAAATGTCAGACTAACGGGCAATCCAAATTAAATCAAGGAAATAAATAGAGCGCACTCTCAAAAGCCCGGTGCGCCCTTAATGACTTGCAGGAGAACAGTGGAGCGCAATTAAAAGATGCAAATTGTTCAATATCGTAACCTATTTCCATTATAAAGTTCTATATAAAAGAGAACCGGGAATCAATGCTTAACCTATAAAGACAGCTTATAACTTATACATACAATATATTTATGTACTTCTTTGTTTATCTAAATTTAATATCTATTGTTCTAATCGAAAATATTGTTACAGTTTTATATATATTATTTTTTTTTTCTTATTTTGTTTTTGATTAAAAGCTTTCAAATATTCTTTAAAATTTTATTGCTCTATTCATAACTCTTACGAATATCTTACGCTACAAAATACTTATTGTATCGTAAATTGGATGACTCTTTCACCTTCAAATAACGTCATATTGTGAAAATCCCTGAAAATATTGTCTTATCTAATTTCATTCGAATGATATCTTTCGAAAATACAAATTTTTATAATTACAGCTTAATATCATTGATACAAGTGAATCATATGACTTATCATTTAAAAATTTTTATAATTCTTGTTATTTTGCCGTAAAAAGTTTTTTGTTGATCTGTTATTATTAATTTTTTGATTTTTATATTAATAAATAAGTATTTGCAAAGTAACTTAACTTACTACTAAATTTGACCGCGATCTGTCATCTATTTTCATCTATTTTATTTTTTCTTGTACAAAAGTTTTGAGGAAAATACTGAACAAATTTAATCAATTAAACACCACTTGATATGACCCCAAGCGATTTTTTTTTGTTCCAGAAGCTAAAATTACTTCTTCAAGAAACGTATTTCGGGTTAAATACATCCATAAAAAAATGACTACGGGAATTGGAGACCATATCTCAATCCGCCCACTAAAATGTATAAAGTGAAGCGCTGACGTAGTTGTATTACACTAGATCGGTTTTACCTTGAAGACGCAAAATGAATTATGATTGATTGAAAATTTTTGTGGGTTTTATTCAATAATTCTTAGAATTGTGCATAGTGGTTTTTTTTACAAAATAATAAATATAATAAATATTAATTTTAATATATATCAAAAAATTGAGTTAATGTATAAAAAAGCTAATCACCCTATTTGCTTGGGTAACAAGAATTCTGTATATTTCAGTAAAAATTAATATTTTTTGCTATGTACCTATTTTAATTAAATATTTCTGTTTTTTTCGATTCTTATTCGCAAATCTTCTAGTATTCCCTTATTGTGGATATCCGAAATTTTGTGTTTAAACAGTTGAGTTTTAACTCACTCAACTGTTTTCCACAGTAGTCTTTAGGGACAACTTTATACCAACAAAATATTGTTACTTATATTGGATATCTAATAGAGAAATATAGGAAGTACATAATGTATATATTAAAACTTTATACCCAAGATTACTGATTTTTTGATGTGTAATTACAAATATGTTTAACCTAACTGTCTCAACACTGATTTTTTCATTGAGAACCAAAAATGTTTTTGACCTAGCTTTATCATGTGATCTCTTGTAAATCACTACAGTCACACTAAACTTACAATTTCACCTCCCTCGTTGTCCTATTTTTTCCATTTTTATTATCATGCATGATCTACTTTTCATCACCTGTTCACATCTAATTTAAAAACATTTCAAATTCATTCATTTCAACGGTGACACTCAAACACTATTTATGTCTTATTTTGAGAGGCACTCAAGTATCGAACTTTCATCACAAACTTTTTGCAAAGTTAAAGATTATTTTACAGTCAAACATCAATTTCTTAACTGTAACGTGACTGCTAGCATACCGATCTTCTTGGACCTTATCTATATTGTCATCAACTCTATGATGATATGTCGAAAAATTAAAGTTTCAAAAAACCGAATGCTAGTTAACCGCTATTTTAATATATAATTGTATTATATTATTAGTTTATTTATCTTATCTTTATATATTTTAGGATTTATATTTGAATTCATTTCGATACCAGTAATAAAGGCATTTTCATCTGCGACTGCTATTTTAGTCATTGAGTCTCAGTTAAAAGTGCTGCTCGGTATAAAATACGTAGCGGCAGGATTCATACAATCGATAACCATGCTATCATCGCGAATACCAGATGCAAATATGGGTGATCTTATATTGGGTATATGCGGTATTATTTTCCTAATTTTTTTAAATGTAAATTAATATTGCCCAATACAATAAAATCATTTTTAATAATCAATTTTATTATAATATTGATTCTTTGAGGTGTTGGAAAAAATTACACATCGACAATGTGTATCGAAGTGGGTTAAAAACTTCTTTGGTTATCTCTCTTTTTCACGAAATACATTATTAGTACTTATCACCGGCATAATTTCGTATGTGTGGATAAGTAATGGAAATAAAGTGCCGTATGCCTTAAGCAAAAATTCAGTTTCCGGCCTACCAAATTTCACATTCCCCAGCTTATCTGTGGATACTAATGAGAAATCTTATGGATTTTGGGATATATTAGCTGAATTAAATGTTGGCATTATCGTTATACCAATAATTGGCGTTTTAACGAATATATCTATTGGCAAATTAAGTAAGTATGTGAACACTAAAAATAATTAAATGAATAACATTTATAGATAGACATACATTTAATATATTAATGATACATTATTTAGGCCCTAAAGGACTAGTTGATTCAAATCAAGAATTACTCACCGTGGGTTTCTGTAATGTGCTTGGCTCATGTGTTCAATCGATGCCCACATCAGGAGCATTTACCCGATATGCTATCAGTACTGCTTGTGGTCTAAAAACTCCCATGGCTAATCTATATTGTGGTATGCGTATAAATTTTATTTTTGTGAAAAAAAAATATAAATGTAACTTTATATAAATATAAATATAAATATAAATATAAATATAAATATAAATATAAATATAAATATAAATATAAATATAATATTAAATATAAATAATAAATATAATATAAATATAAATATAAATATAAATATAAATATAAAATATAAATATAAATATAAAATATAATATAAATATAATATAATTAAATATAAATATAAATATATATAATATAAATATAAATATAAATATAATATAAATATAATATAAATAATATAAATATAAAAATATATACAAATAAAATATAATATAAATATAATATAAATATAAATATAAATATAAATATAAATATAAATATAAATATAAATATAAATATAAATATAAATATAAATATAAACACGCTAATATAATAAATTGGTTATAATGAACTTGTTATGAAATTAAGTGAGTAATATTATTATAATGTAATAATTACTATATAAAAATCAGTGTAATTATTTGAAGATTACTAATATAAATAATATTTATTTATTATATAAATAAACCGTCAATTAAAGTATACATAATAATTAAATTTTATGTATATTATTATGTGTAATTACACAATGTAAATAATATTATAATTTATTGTTATATAATATCTATCTAATATCTGTTATTAATTAAATAAATCTTTCTTTTCAGGTATAATTTCCTTACTTGCATTAAGTTATTTGAGTCCTTACTTTAAATATATTCCCGAAACTTCACTGGCAGCTATTTTGATATGTTCCATTTATACTCTTTTGGACTTTAAACTACCTTATCGACTTTGGCGCGAGTCAAAACGGGATTTTTACATATGGGTTTTAGTATTTATTATTAGTGTTTTAAGGGGTGTGGAAACCGGACTGGTAGTTGGCACTATTTTGACTATTTTGCATCTACTATTTTTATGGGCACGTCCAGATATTATAGTAAAAATTGCAGAAGTAAGTAAATACATTCATATATTATTCATTATTGATTAGTAATAAATTAAATTTTTTTTTATATTTTTTAGTTAAATGATATGCAGTACATATCTGTTATTCCAGGAAATGGTATATATTTTCCAGCAATTAGTCACTTACGTCAAAAAATTTTGAAAGCCTGCTCACAGGCTGAATATCAAGTTCCTATCGTTATTGACTGCCTTAAAATTACTGGCCTCGATTTTACATCAGCTCAAGGTATATCTAAATTGTCGGAAGATTTATGCCAAAATGATGCAGCGAGCAGTACTTTACTCATACTCTATCGTATGAATTTACACCAACAAAAAGTAATTGATATTACTGAAAATCTGGTTTTCTGTGAAAACGAAGCTAGACTACAAGAGTTTTTAACTCAAGAATCACTGCGGAATGGATTCATTAATCTAAAAGAGCACATAAGAGCATCTATTGATCTCGGTTATAACATTAATTTTGAATAAATATGCAAAAAATTAATTTGCAAAAAAGGCAAATAAGGAATTATTACAAATACTATTTGAAGTTTATTTACTGTTTCGAAATATGTATGTATGGTATGTATGTTGATCCTTTTTTCGAGTAAGCGCAACTGGGCACTTATACTCTTTGATAGCTGGGGATACTACAGGGTCCCACCCATCTTATTGACTAATTTATGTATATCTGCGTACCTTCCCGTGCGGAGACTGGTAACTCTAAGATTAGATAGTGTTTCGAAGTGTAAAAACCTACATAATTTCCTATGCATCATTAATAATCTAACTGGCTCTTAATTATCGCCTGAATCAACCATGTAGATATTCACTAAACACCTGATACAATTCATGTTTCCATATGACAGAAAATCTGTTACCGAAAAAAATATTTAAAAAATGGTATCTAAAACTCCGTTTATACAGGTGGTATCACGTTGAGAGTGAATAGCATATAGAATATAAAGCTGAGATTGAACTCAGAATAAATCAATAAATGATATTGATTAATTTAATATTAACTATTGATTAATTTAAGCGCGGCCGAGGGATACCTAAAACACACAAAGGCAGTCTAAAACAAACTAGTAGAAATCTAAAATCATGTCATCTACTACACAACCTTCATTGCACGTTCTTTTATATATAAATCATTGCTATTTCAAAATTAGTACAAGGATGAGATAAAAAATAAATTAAAAGATCAAAACAACATAACCAAGTCAGAATCCAATGCATAAGATTGCTAAGCCATTAACTAAAAATACCTCCTGATACAGCTACTAAACAAATTTTTGACAGAAAGTGTATCGGGTAAAAAACTCTAGAATACTAAGATTGGAGAAAGTAGGCAAGACGTAGAAAACTGTACTCAGCATCAATCCTTAGAAAAATAGAAATTCTGATTCATACAAATATATTATATTTCTCAAGACCACTGACAATCTTCGTAATGATTCAATTTTCTTTAATTTTGGTAAACGGATTTGCATTATAAACTACTTGTAACAATGCAAACCCATAATATGTTATGAATCCGTCTAGAAAGATCTTTTATATTTTATAAAAATCTGATTATTTCAATATCCTAGTGTAAAGTATATAAAACATATAACTTTATCATTTAAATTAATTTAATTTTTTTTATAATACCAAAAAGATAATTTAATATCTCGATGTATTTTCACAATACCAATGGAAAAATTCACATACCATTCTTCTAATGACAAGTATCCCTCATTTTTTCGTGCTATAATAACTCATAGTACGTAGCACCTAACCTAACACCACCCTTAACTAAGTAGTTAATTAAGTATTTAACAAATTTCGCCTAATCTAATATATTGAGGCTAGTTGAGTCAGTGCACTTGAGCACTTGTACTCTCTACTAACTGCAAGGTTTCTTCATAACCCCACTATATTGATTATCAATAATTTTTGAATGAATCAATCTTGAGGTCCCTAAGAATGTCATTGGTCCTAATGTACCATGGCATCTTGAAAATTCATCTCAGAGCCTGGCTTTGTGCAATTTCCAGCTGGCGAGTAGTAGTGTTTGTTTAATACTCTGTATTCAATGGAATGGTCTATGATAAGATTCTGTCTAGTGCCTGTCTGTACAGGCACTAGTACAGACGGGTTCGTAGCCAGAAATTGATTTTAGATGGGATTTTAGATAAAATGCTGGAACAACTATACTTTTGTTTACCATTCAGTCATTTAACATATTTTGGCTATATATCTGAGAATATAATACACATAACCCTAAGGGGTTATTATGAACTTAAACCACGACCAAGATGTTAGTTGGTTTGACTCGAACTAAATTTAAAGAATCAAGCAAAAGCTAACCAAATCAAGCCAATTATGCTGCGATTTGCATTCTTAAGATAAGTGTGGTGGTGTTTGTCGTATCTAAATTGATTCCTATAAGAGAAACCATTAGCGCAACATTGTTCCTAAAGAAAACAAAGAATACTGTGTGCAGCTTGACTGCAGTGATCATAGCTAAATCAGCATAAGCAGTGAGTTAGCTTCAATGCACTTGAAATAGTGTAAACAAAAACTGTGATATTGCGCTTTGTCTTTTATTTGTCTTGATACAAAGTAAGACGAAACTTAATTTGACAAATATGTGAAATAAATCCATATAACATGGTCAATGTAAGAGATGTTATTATTTTGAACAAGGTCTACATGTCTACAAGATCTGTTGCAAAAGACAGTCTATATTGGAGATATAGCATATATCTTTACATGTGTCGTGCCTTAACGAAGCATGTAGTTGTTAATAGATGAACTTAATATAAATAAATATTTATTAATACCTTCTTTTAGTCTCCAGTATGTAATCAACGATTTCAGTATATTTTCATATTTATTCTCATAAATAATTTGGGCAATAAACAAAAGTTCAATATATGAAATCCATTTAATTAATACCTAAATGAACATTAAGTAAAGTAAATGTATCAGAAAGTGTTGAAATTATGCGTTAACTCGTAAATAATGAAAAGTTTCTGCATAAAGTGAAATTACACTCGATGTATCTACGAACTATTTAAAATTTGATAACCATTGCAAATCATTGTAAACAAAAACTTCACATATGTCTGAAACATTTAACTCTATAAATTCATAAATTTTAAATTTGCCTCCGACACAACAGAATATTCTGGCTCCATACGCAGTGTATAGAGCTTCCACAGCTTCCATTTTGGCGGCTTCATGGGACGAAGTCCTTAAAAAATCCTCAATATGCGCAACACCTGAGCTTGGTAAAAGTAATTTAATTTATTTCGCAATGGATATTAACATTGTTCATGAGTTCGAATACCAAAACTTTATGAGTACTTTACTGAGTAAAAATAATAAAAGAAAAAATTTATATTAAAACAAAATACAAGGCGGCTAAAATGAGTGTACCAAGTGTTACTTCACGAACTTTTATGAAACTCGCACATGGCTAATATCCTATAGAAAAACAGACCAGATACGCCAAGGCTGCGAACAAAGGTGCGTACGAGTATTTGACGGCACTTAACGGCGACACCAACTATTAAATATAATTTATTTTTCCAGAGGTTTGTTTAAAGTTTATGCATTTTGAAACTCCCCTTCCTATAATTAGAATAACATTAAACCAATTTTAGTTTCGCTGTAGGTAATAGATCACTACAACTACACCTAACACAACTAACACACAAATATATTTTATAAATTCTTTATTAAGAACTTTTCTTATCCCCTTCAACATATTCTGTGAAATCTATATTCATTCATGATGACGGAGATATTCTAAAGATATTAACAAGTCCTTAATTATTAGTTTTTGGATCAGATACTAATTGTAAATTATTAAGTCTTGAAAAGTATGTATAATAATATGTGCGCAAAAGGAGACCCTAGGAGAGAAGCACAACTGTAAGTAAATATAAGTATAATGATATATGCAATGAAGGAATTTATTCTTTTATATTATAATTATAATTACTATAATATTATATATTATTTGATTGTAAACCACTATATCTCCAACTTATGTTGTATATTATTACCACCTATACCCAGTAGAAGAGAATTGAGTTCACTAACACTTTATTTAGCGAACCATGCAGTCTCCGCAAGCATATTAACAACACCAGCCAGCCTGTAATGATAGATCGTATAGCATTTCATATAGAAGAGAATCAGACGTCCTACGAAATTAAATACAACTGCTCATTGCTACATTGGACAAGATCGAGCACACAAAAAGATATTAAACTACAAAAATAGGGTTCAATTGAACACACTCCCAAAACATCAAATAATAGTATCATTTAGTACGCATTTCGATAGAACTAAAAGGTTTTTAACTATATAATGTATTTGTCTTAACATATATGAAAGCCAAAGATCTTTAATTAAATAAAATGAAAATCCTTGCGAAAATTCTGATTTAAACTATTTTTGGATGATTTAGGATCAGCCTAAGTGGTTAATAATCATCATTCTCTGATTATTTAGCATGCTATACTTAAACTCAATATATGTAGCTTGCTAAAGTACAAAATATTTTAAGTACGTTTATATTATTGCATTTAACTCATGCATTTATTATGCTTACAACAACAACAACCCACACTAAAATCATAACACCAAACACAATCAAATTTTTTGCTCAGCAAACAACAACGCTCACAGAAAATTGCTACAAATGCCACGACTGAATGAACCGACAGTCTTTAATTTTTAATGAGTGCACTCATTGATTCATACTACTCGAGTACATGCTATGCATGCTACTCTACATAGAAAAGTATACACACTCTTGTGACGCTGATACACTAGTACCAGCACTCATTGACGACAACACTTATGAATCGTTTCTGTGGCGAATGTGAATGAGTATAAGTGACGTGCGAAAAAATATTTATATGCATTTATACTTGGTTTTTATGAGTGTACTCTAAGTGTTAAAATTTTGACTATGAGTAAAATCAGAGTACTTACACTTAGCAGAAAAACTCTGCGTACAGAAAGTAAATTTTGTTTCAACATATAAAAAATTACTAAATAAATAAATTTTTAAAATCAATTTTATTTTTTATTAGTACTTTTATTTGTTATCTTCATTTTAAGCTAAAACTTATTTCTAACAGATTAGTGAAAAGATTATAATAATTAAAAATTTGAAAAATCAGCGCTATCGGTGCAGAAAAAGTCTGCGTACAAGAGTTTAAAAAACGTCGAAATACATTATTTTTTAAAAGATTTTATATTTTCAGTAACTTGTTGGATAACCTTTCCTTTTTATGACCTCCATAAGTCGTTTTGGTATCGAATTGACCAGCTTCGCAGTCTCATCGCTGCTTATTTTACCCCATTCCGCGTCGCTTACGTTCTTCAGCATTTCTTTGGAGGTTACATTGTATTCATGTATCCGACGCACCAGTAAATCCTATAAATGTTCTATAGGATTCAAATATGGCGATTATGATGACGTTTTGATGTGCTTGGGCACATTTTAAAGCAACCAAAGCTTCACAATTTCTGCCGTGTGCTTTGGGTCGTTATCTTGTTGAAATAAGTAATTATTCTGTAACCCCAACTTCTCGGCACTGCTCTTTAAATTGCATTTTAAAACATTTAAATAATCAACTTTATTCATTATCGACTCAATAAATTTCATTTTTCCCACTCCATTACTCGCCATACACCCTCGCACTATTACTCCTCCATTACCATGCTTTATTGTTGGATACAAATCTTCATTATTAAAGGCTGTACCCGGGTTTCGCCATATAATCGTTCGACCTTTAACGCTAAAGAGACAAAATTTGCTTTCATCTGAAAAAATTATGCGTTTCCAATATTCTGGAGACTTATTTAAATACTCCCTTGCGAATGCTAAACGCTTCATTCTAATAGCTTTGGAGATAAGCGGCTTGCTTCGTGCAAACCGGCCATAGTAGTGGTATTTTTTTAATATTTTGTGTACAGTATCCACGTGAATTTGCTTCTGGAATGTCTGGTAAATATATTTATATAACAAAAGTCCAGTTAGACCAGGATTATCTTTCACTGAATTAATAATGCTGCGAGTTTCTCTTGTTGACAGCTTGGATGGACGCCCAAATCGCAGCTTCGAGGTCAATAATCCTGTTTAGCTGTTGTTGTTTACTACTCTTTGGATAGAAGAATGTGACCGCTTAACGATTTGACCAATTTCGCGATACATTTTCCTTTTTGTCCATAGATCAATAATAATACTGCTCTCACAGATAATAATTTCTTTTCCTTTATTTGTCATTAAAAATTTAATTACTTTTTAATCATTAAATTATAAAATAAGTGCGTGGGATTGTGTATAATGATATTCTGGTACAGTAAAACATAAAGCACGCCAAAGTTCTACTATTAAAACTTCGGGAATTCCCCTTTATATGTTTTGTACGCAGACTTTTTCTGCCACCGATAGCGCTGATTTTTTACATTTTTAATTATTATAATTTTTCTACCAATGTGTTAGAACTAAGTTTTAGCTTAAAATAAAGTCAACGAATTAAACTACAAACAAAAAATAAAATTGGTTTAAAAAATTTATTTATTTAATAATTTTTTATATGTTGAAACAAAATTTACTTTTTGTACGCAGAGTTTTTCTGCTAAGTGTATATAGTTATCTAGTATCTACAAAAAAATAGATATTTTCCCTAATACGCAAATATTATGACATTTATTACAACACTGTTTTATCCAACGCAACGAGACGAAGCATATATTCTCCTATTTTTAATTGACGTTGAACACAACGTACATATATGACATGACCATGACTCTAAAAACTGTAATAACTATACTTCACCGAAGGCCTGCAATGAATTTTAAATAATTCCTTAATCAATTTCCAACTTTCTATCAATACATAATAAACTTTCTATTAATATATAAAAATTTGGACATAGAATTATAGTTTCATCGTGTAAATGCAATAATTTGCAGTGGTGGAGACCTATAAATGAAAAGAATATATTTTTATATATCAGTTACCTCATGACGGAATGAATTGGAAATGCGAATACATATTCTATTACATTTTTGTAACTAAATTTAGTTCGATTTGGAAATTTATTACTTGTACGTCAATTTGCTTTTTTGTGGAAAATAGTTTGTGTGACATATATAAGACATATATATATTAAAAAATTATTTTTGTATTAGAATTTGTATAACGTAGTATCGCCATAATAAACTGTCAAAAAGTTTAAGAATTACTTTGCTATTCGTTTCAAAAAAAGATTTTGTCGTTCGAATATATTTTCTTTTCGGTTTTCGTTTAATCGAATCACGGAAACTTTTTATTTTGATAGCAATTAAAATTTTGCTATATAAAATTTCTATATTCTTTTTGACCAGTCATCTATAAATCATAAAAATGAAGTGCGATTGGTGCCCACCAACAACTAAAACCTTTACCAGATTTCCATGCTGCTTCCAGCTATATCCTGGAAAAAATGAACGTACTAATCCAGGTAATATACAGGAGCTTCATGGAATGGCACGCCGTATTATGCCAAAGTTTTTCGATGGTGTGGAGGTGGACTATGTGCATCGTCTTTCCTCTAATAAGATTATAACAACTAACTGGTTACTGAGTCATACGCGTCCGTCTGGATTCCGTTTTGGAGGTATATATACAATGCGAGTGCAAGACGATATTATGGTAAGGGAAATAATAAAACCAATATATACAAGATACACACTAAGCAATCTGTTCTACAACAAGAGTCTATTTTACTATAGAAAACTTGGTAACAATAAAATAATGAGACACGGCCTTGACCCGTAGTAAAATATTCTTGTTATAATGCAGATTGTGCACATGTGTTTCTTTAAACATGTATATCTAATCTTTTTATGATCATGGCGTAAATATGTGTTACATATACCTTTAAGCAAACTCCTACTGTTCACGCTGATATAAATCCATCGTCCTTGGCCTCTAATTTTGGTGTGCTATATTATCCATTTAACTGCCTTCGGTTAGAAGCTCTTCTCCAACGCGCTGGCACTGATACGCCTTTAACAACACAACTAACAGCCGAAATTACCCGTCCATGTGCTACCATTACTGCCAATTATTATACTTATGAGGACGAGAAAGGCCGCGGTACTCTTTCGTTCATGCGATCTATTACCGCACATTGGGCTATAGGCGCAGAGCTTCTGTTGGAATGGCCAGACGCAAACTCCTTGATGGCTGATACTGCATTTGCAGCACGGTATGATATGAACATATATTTTTATTTATATTTATATATTTATTTTAATTGATATAAGATACAAGCGTTTATATTATAATTCAGTAACATAATAATATAACTTATATTAATATGAAGTATATACGTTTATAAAGGAATCTAATATAGTGTGTAATAACATAATACACTTATTATATATATGTATATATTTATATACGTATTAAATTATATAAATATAATATAACTTTGCGATACACATTTATCCCATAAATGTATTACATTTAAAGAACTGCAAATAGTCCTTACAGTTTTTCCAGAACTTTTACGAAAGTGCCTCAATATTAGTACGGATCAACTAAAGAATCTATCAGTAATATTTTATAAATTGTATATATGTATATAATATACTTCTTATATAATATGTTTTGCTATATTTGCCGTTTTTATTGTTTAAGCTATTCGACACACAACTACGCAGTAGCAGCATCCGCTTCGCGCCAAGGGGTAGACATAAGTTATTGGCAGCGAATACATAGCAGGATACAAATGGGCACAACGATGGCGTGGCAAAGAAAAACTAAGGACACATACGCTGCCATATGCTACCAATGGGACTTTAAGGATGCTGTCGTTCGAGGAGTTGTGCAATCTGATTTATCCGTTGGTTTTATGTATCAAAGGTAAGTTAGGTGATTGTGACTATTTCAACTTTCTTCAAGCTAACTAATTTATATATTACAAAGTATATAAAAAAAGTTTTAATTAAAATATAATTTTCAATATATTTACAGATCTTTGTCGCACATTCCTTGTGGTTTTGGCGTTAGCCTATTAATGAATATACCAACCAATAAATTCGTTTTTGGTATTAAATTCAATTTGGATCCTAGTGGTCTTAAGCGTGGGGACTAACAAAAATTCTAAAACTAATCTTTCTATTACACCTTAACTAGAATTGATGAATTAAATAGAAGTTCCACAAAATGCAACCAACCTTCATTGTTATTGTAATTCCAGATTATATTTATTATAATCTTTGAATACTTCACTAACATCGAAACTAAAAATTTTTAATGTGAAGATGCTATGTTAATATGTTTCAATAAAATATTTTATTAAAATGAATTATTATTGGAACAAAAAATGTCTTATTTAAAAGTTATAACATTTATTATTTCATTCTATATAATAGACGTTAGGAGTTGAAGCCTATTCACACTAGGCACTTGCAACGCATGCGTATGAAGGGCTCTTCAACGCGAAATTTGACTCTATATATTTTCTTATAAGCCTGTTAACATCACAGTAGGTGTTCTTAGCGGAAAATTTTCAATGTTTTGCAATGTGACGTTTCGAAAGAAAGGCTCTTATAGGATTATTCACAATTTAATACCCATTTTCAAAAGCATGCGTGAATAGCTGAAGTTCTTGGAAGTTCTTACGATTTTGGTCAATAGTAATAGTCAATAGAAGTATAATTTTGTATTGTATAAGTTAGTAAAACATAAAACTTTTTACAATGATATATGTATCGATGTAAAAAATTAGTTTACGAATCCCTTTCATAAGTCTATTTAAAAAAATTCAATCAACCTACAATATATATTTTTTTTTTGGATTTAAAAATTAATAGATATATTAACTAAAAATCAATAAAAAAAAAAATAATACAATTAAAACAGAAAAAATAAATATGACTTACATACAGGTTCAACTACAATTGCAATTGCTTTCAACACTCGTGAGTCGCTGCTTCTCAAGTGTTTTTTGAAAACAAGTTCCCTAACTACTTCAGGTGGAACCCAATAAGACTTGGTACTCCTAAAAAATTCAATTCATAAATCTATTTTTCTACCACTGTAAAAATATAATATTTTTAACGAATACATAAAATATTTATATTTACATTAAGTATTATTATTATTATGTTGAGGGATTTTACAATTCGACCTAGAGATCTGTTTTGCGCCTTCATAGATTCCAAAACAGATCTCCGTCATAGATTTTACGACAAATTGTGCTATTGAAGTCTTATTTTTTCACTAGATATAAGATGACCATCACGGTAGTGTTTTCATTTCAGCAGCAGTGCTGCGCAAACTCCCAATACGTATTTTGAGGTCTCTTTCCAATGAAGCCTACAGGTTCTGTTAGAGTAAGTATCAAGATTTGTAATTATTGTTAATAATTCTTTAATCCTGAAATCGTTTTAGTTTGAAAGTCTGCTTGAGATAGCCCTGATAGATTATTCTAATATAGCTTTCTCTGTTACTCCCCTTCTTATCAAATGAGTGAAAAATCGTTACCTTCTCTCACACCACACAATGGGTCCTGATTGGTTTATCCGTAATTTCGTTGCTGGAAATTCCAACGTGACTTGAAACTCATAAGATACATATCTGATTGTTTTGGTCAAGGATGTTAAGCTTTTTAAAACACTGTCACTAGTCTTAAAGTCTCTTGATGAAATTATATATTGTGGACTATACAAATACCATCTAGTCTTAAACTGTTTTATCTCTTCATAATGCTTTCTCCCCATCGTTACACAATTCTTATTTAGAAAAAATTCGTTTAAAAAAATAATTATAATACTAATGAATATATCAGAAGGGCATATTTTATTTTATCACTCTGTACTAACGTCATCAACATTCCAGCTGTATAGTATCCACTTCTTTATATTATTTGACAGACATGGTTTCTAGAGCAACGGTCACAACACAAGCGGCAAACATATTAAATTCGTAGATAGAAAAATTTATAAATTTAGTAAATTTAAAAACTTTCAGAAATGGTATATATGGTTTAATAAAGAATAAATAAAAATAATAACATAAGAATTGCACTCTCAATAGATACTATCTAGAGGAAAAACCGATTCAGCTAATTCAAGACATGTTAATAGCGGCAATATTATAAAAAAAGTCCAGCCATCCTTAGAAGAATTTATAATAAAACGAGATTACACAGGAGCCAGAGCATTTCTAGAGGTATAATTGTACCATATTAATATTTTAAATTTTTTACTGAAATTATTATTTAATTAATTGTATTTAGTTTTCAACCGAAGAGGAAGACGATGAGAAAAAGTTACTTGTTGATCAATGGATTGCATTTTGCAGTTTTCATTTAGGAGACTATCAACAAGCACTGAATCAATACAATGAAATAAAAACTCAAGAACCCGCTACTGATAATATCAGTTTAAATATATCAGTTTGTATGTTTTATTTGGGTATGTACGAGGATGCACAGAAACTAATTGACCAAAGTCCCAATAATTCTTTGAAGTTGCGTTTACTTTTTCATTTGGCACATAAATTAAGCAACGAACCATTAAGCATACAAGATTTGCATGATTCCTTACAGGACACAATTGAGGATCAATTAAGTTTGGCGTCTATGCATTATCTGAAATCACACTATCAGGAAGCAATTGATATATATAAACGTATACTATTAGAAAATAAGTAAGTTAATTATATTATATATTTATTTATATACACATAAGTATGAATGTACTAAATAATTTATGTGCTATACTAAACTCTATTATTACTACTTAAGGGATTATCTGGCTATAAATGTCTATTTGGCATTATGTTTCTATAAACTGGATTATTATGATATGTCGCAGGAAGTGCTTGGAATTTACTTAGCTAAACACAAAGATAGCACAATTGCTGTTAATCTTAAGGCTTGCAATCGATTTAGACTTTTCAATGGACGTGTTGCTGAACAAGAAATCAAGAATTTAGCAGATAATGGAACTTTTGGAGCTGATCTCATCAAGCATAATACAGTTGTATTTCGTAACGGTGATGGTGCTTTACAAATATTTCCTTCATTGCTAAATATAGTGCCCGAAGCACGTCTAAATTTGGCTATTTACTACTTGAAACATGGAAACATACAAGAAGCGCATTCTCTTATTAAAGAAGTACAACCTACAGTACCATATGAATACATTTTGAAAGGCGTAGTTCACGCGGCTTTGGGTCAGCAATTGGGATCTGTACGTAAAACTACTTAGTAGCTTTTAGCTTTTTTTTTAAATATATTTTCGTCTTTTATTTAAGCGTGAACATATTAAAACTGCACAACAAAATTTACATCTAGTTGGCAGCTCTGCCACTGAATGTGATACTATACCAGGTCGTCAGAGTATGGCTTCAGCCTTCTTTTTATATGAACAATTTGAGGAGGTACTGGTGTATATGAATTCTATACGTAGTTACTTTATAAATGATGATACTTTCAACTATAATTATGCTCAAGCAAAGTGCGCTACTGGCTACTATAAGGAAGCTGAAGAATTACTTGTACAAATTACTGATATGGAAATAAGAAATCAGCATACTTTTAACATGGTACTCTCTAAATGTCATATACACTGTGGACATCCTGAACAGGTGAATGATATTGATAATAAGAAAATATTATAAATATGTAAAGTACATTATAACTAAGCATATGTGTAAATCCTAACAATTTAAAATTCTTATCTTGTTTTATTTATAAACATAAATAGTATGATTTTCCAAATATAATGTAGAAATAAAAATCCTCTACATCGTTTACTGAAATAATTAAATCATATATTAAAAATGTCGTTATTACTACGTAGACTTGTTTAATATTTACAACGGAAGTTTACGTTTTTACACTATCCGCTTAAATCAATTTCATACAAACAAGCTAACGCCTATAGTTCACAAGACAACATCGTTATTAGTGCAAATTTATTTTGTTTGGTTTGTGTTGTACATAGCTTTATCATTTTTATTACTACTTGCTCTCAACTTAATTAGCGCTCAACTCTACTCACCTCAAATGTATATAATATGCAAACTTGGCGTTAAGCTTGAACTTCACTGAAGTAATATTACCAAATCCAAGGAAATAGATATTACCTATTAAGATGATGATGTATAAAAATAAACCCATATCTTATATATAATATAAATTGATTCATTTAAATTTTGATTCATTTGTACAATTTTAACATATTTATTAGTGCATTTCTAATTACTTAAATAGATCACAACTAATAATTCATCTAGCTATGTAGAAATAGATTTATTTACTATAATGATTATAATATTATGTAAAGTCATATGTAATATCTTTTATTGCAATAGGCTTGGAACTTATTTATTGCACGGGATACAAGTTCGGAAGCGTTTTTACTACTTCAACTCATTGCCAATGAATGCTATAAGTGTGAAGAATTTTGGTTTGCCGCAAAAGCTTTTGATATGCTAGAGAAGTATGTGTATATTATTTTTAATATTTAGTCCATAGTATTACTTATATTCTAACCGAAACACATTAATTTATGTATTGTAATGTTTTGTAAAAGAATTTTACTCAATTGTTATCAACAAAACCTAAATGAAAATCAAACTTATATCTAATGCACTAGAGAGCGGTGGTTCCCAAGGAACTGAGCCTCTATTATTATTATTATTATTCGAATTGATATTTTATTCTATATTATATAATAGTATATATCTATTAATGCTTAAATATGAACCTGTAATATTTGAACCTTTCATAATATTTGTATGTTTTTTTAGACTGGATCCTAGCCCAGAAAATTGGGAAGGTAAACGTGGTGCTTGTGCTGGAGTCTTGTTTGCGACAATAACAAAATATAAAAAAATGCAGATGCCACACTCGATTTCGGAAGTTATAGGATTATTGCGTGAATCTTCATATCCACAAGCAGAAACTATTATTAGAACTATACGCAAATATGCAAACATACTTAAGTAAATTAAATAAAATATATTAACTTATGATTTTAAATTGGAAATATAAAAATTTGTTTATAATATCAAGTATCGGAGTATCAAAATAATTATTAGGTATTTTACAAATATTTTAATTTATTCAAGAATTCAAAAGGAAGACATATCTAATCAAATAAAACTATATATTAAGGATAACATAATATAGATCTGAAAAATTAAGAAGAAAACGCGCTAAATCACACAAAGCTATATTATTATCTATTATTATATTATTACTATTACTCTTATGTTCAGGTTTAGCCATCTATTACTATTACTACTATTATATTTTTATAATAGAATATAAAAAATTACTATTATATTCTTCTTCTAAGTGCCTCTTGAACATGGCACTTGACTGTACACTGTCCCAACAAAGATACTAGAAGATCTCCTCAGCTTACAACAACAAAAGTATAGAGTAGGGTGAGAGCCTACTACGGGATAGTATATTTGATATCAGTTTTAGTAACTGTGATTAAAAAAGTAAAGAACTGATATTAGATATGAAAAACTATGGTTAGTATACATAAATCAGTTTTATCAGTTTTATCAGTTTAAGTAACTGTGATTAGTAAAAAACTACTATTATATATGAAAAACTGTGATTAGTATACAAAAGTATAGAGTAGGGTAAAGGCCTAATAGTAGTATCGGCAATAGTAATAGTACTTTTAGATAACAGATTAACGTTTTGCACATATTTTGATATAAAACGTTTCTGCTTTAAATCTCTAGGAAGATAATTGATAGTGAACAGTTCAGAGCACAATAAATTCCGGTGATTTTTCGTCCATAATAATCTGTCTGTCAAACGATGCTGTCGGTGTATTAACTATTTTGATCTTTTACTATTAGTAATTGTCTTTCAGGTCTAAGATACAAGTAATATTTATCTGCGATATCACAACTCTGGCTACTATTCGAGCTCAGTTGCGCTTCAAAGTGTCACACTGATGACAGTATTATTCGCACTAAAACGTATTCTTGGTTATGTATGATATAACCATGTCTAATTGAAGCATATTTACGACAACTTAATACAAAATATAATTCTACTAATATAAACATTCAGATTACATTCGAAAGCCTTACATTTTGACATTTTTTTTTCTTCTTCTTCTTCTTCTACTTGAGTTAGTGCTATTACGCACTTTTACTCTATAATGGCTGGGGGGCTTATCTCTACCCCACACTAGGCTTTAACTAGGCTAAAAAATCATATCATTTATTTGTCTTTTAGTTGATGACGGACCTTAAATCAGCATATCTTCCTGAGAGTCCAGAAGTGGACTTGAGGATTGTTAGGGCGGGGTTAAGTAGCGTATCAACTTTAGTGAATAATTTTAAAGCTCTGTCTTTGATATATTTTTTCACTGAGTCAATCCTAAGATCTCTATGTATGTCTGTTGATCTAATATACCATGGAATCTGAAGGTTTTGAGTTATCTGTAATTGCTTTTTTATTTTCATAAAAATTAAAATAAATGTAGTTTGCTTTGCCGATTTAATTTAAATACCAATTGTTTCAAAATAAAGAGGTTGTCAATGTAAAATAAAAATTTATATGGTACGAATTTATTCTCTTAGAAAATTTTATTTTGTGTCAGGTTTTACTTATCAACATTCAAAAAAAAAATGTCAGAAAAAGAAGAACCCATGGAAAATCTTTATTCCACAATAAAATCCAAATTTGAAGAAGATGGTGTTCTACAAGAGGTACGATGTCTTCTGCAATCAAAAATGGTAACAATGATGAAAGGTAAAACCGATAAAAACACGCCCCTTATACCACGCGGATCTACCAGTGGTGCTGGCGATGGCCAAACAGACTCACGTATGCAAATGTTACATCAACTAATCTTAGAATATTTCCATTGGCACGGTTTTCATTATTCCGCTGAAATGTTTGCCATGGAGAGTGCTACTGAAAACACAAAGCCAGTACGTGAATGTCTTGAAGGGGTTTTAGGCAATTTCGAACACAAGAATTTGCCAATTCTTTTGGAATTGATAGCGACCATGATGGACAATAAAGTGTAAGAAAAATATTAATATTAAGCGAACCATATTTAAATACTTTTGATTTTAGATACAATACTCAATAATTACTATGTGCAGATCCATTTGATATCACATAGCTAATTATATGTATATGACATGGTAATGCACAACACACTTATCGGTTTAAAGCTTTTTATTATTTAACTAAATCATAAATAAAATTTTTTTAAAAAATTACAAACTACATATCTTTTTTTTTTATTGTTGTAGAAATTTAGCTCATTTAAGCTTTAATGGAATACTCCCATTAAAAGCGGTGGTATACGCGCTATGTTAACGCTATCAAATATTTCATGTGTGTGTGAACTTACATTACATAAAAAACTTCCAAGGTTAAATAATACTTGATTTTTTCAATACTCAAATAATTAAAGTGATTTATTGTGATATATATGTAAATATATTTATTGCACTTATAACTTAAAGAATGTCAAAGTAAAACTAACACAAGCTAATAGCTATACATGTAATCAAGAACACACTTTATAATATATATAGGTTGATTTTTTAAATATAATAAGTTGAGATAATTAAAATTTATATAAAACCATTACATAAATATCGAATTAATTAGTGATTTATTTTTCACTTAATACTTTTGTTACACGCCCAAACTATATAAGGATTAATAACGTCATATCACGCAGAAGCAATTCTCAAGCCTTTAACAAACATCGCGTATAAAATTCGCGATCAATTGCATCATTTGGTATACAATTAGACCATTTCAAAATTAAAGTCAGTATATCATGCGCTTCCAGATAATCTAATGCTATACCTAAGAAGCAATTCCATGTATAAAAGAAATGTCTGTTCACATTCTCAACTGGTGTCACACATTCACAATTAACACAGGATAAACGGCCTTGCTGCAACTCCACGAACTGTTCGAAACAACGTGCCCATGCGTATAAGCTGAAGTTCTTGCCAATATCCTGTAGTAATTGTGGCTGACCATAATTAAGTACAATAGATAATATTTTATCCAAATTATTTTCTGCCAAATAAAATCTGGCTAAAATGTCAAACAGTGCCGGCACTTGCGTCAAAACATCGAAACATTTCACCTGCTCATTGCGTGACCAATAATAACGTAATAACACAGCACCTATATCGTGATATAAACACGAATTATCAAAGCGCAATGGGAAATTACAATTATCACAGCGCACAATATCATTAGACGCATTAAGCAATATAAAACCATTTCTGATATAATCACGCGTAAAGTCATCCATTTCCCAAATGAGTTCAGCATTTAAGTAATTGAAGTACATTTCATAGCAACTCTTTTTCGCTTGGAGCTCACTATCGCCGTGTTCACGCATTACTTGTTCCAATTTATCAAGTAAACTAATGAGATCCCGTGCTGAGCCAATGCTATCGAAGAGATCACGATATCTTTCAACAAAATTCGTATTACTGATTTTAGCACTTTTACAAATCAAATATAAATTGTAAATAGTTTTCTCCTCAGCGCTTATATGCTGCCCATTGAAGTTTTTAGTGTTCGTATCGGAATTATTCCGTTTCATACGACATACGATTTCTTCATCATTTTCACATAAAGCTCTTATATCCTTAAAAGGTAAGACACGTTCATTGGTTGGTATAAGTTCATGTACAAGTTTTTGTTGTTCTTCCGAAAATACATTAAATTTATATTTGATAATATTTTTACCGAATTTACCGGTAACAGTCAACAAGGCATCCTTTAAGGGTTTCTCAGTGCTCTTTTGAGATTTTAAATTATCACAAAATGCATTTTCTAAAACATATATGCCATGTGTTGTCTGTTCTTTACTTATTTTATTATGCATTGCAGTTGCACCTAAGCTTATGCTACGTTCCGCTGTACATGAACTACCGCCGGAACTGTTATTATCTCCATTACCTGTAATTGTGTTATTAAGTTAATAGCTATTCATTTAATTTTTTTTAAAAATACTGCCTACCTTCACATTGTGCAATAGCATCAAATATAACTGATAAATCATTCAATAGCTCGTATTCCTGACGATCAATGAGAAAATTTTTTATTTGATTTAATACATTCATGTCGTAATCTTCGCGCGCCTTATCAGCAAAATATTTAACATTCTTCCGCATACAGCAAGCACATTCCAATAACTTTTCCTGCCTTACAAGCTCACAAACATATTGTGTCATTAGCAACACACGTACACTGTACAATGAACCAGTTTGAGTGAATACCACAATATCATCGTTAACGACACGACAATCAACAATGCGTTCAAACTGATTACACCACAGTACTATGCTTGATTTCCGCATGTCGAATACGTACAGACCCAATTCTGTATATGCTAGCAGAAAATCTTGATTTAGCATTTGCACTTTTCCAAATTGTAGATTCTGTGGTTGATAATCAAGCATTTCATCATTCTCCTCATATTTAGCAATTGTCTCTATTTCACTTTCAGATACTTTATGTATTTTAACTGGTGGTATAGCTAAAGCTGTTTTAAATTGGTGGGTTTGTATAACATCGCCCTCGAAATCAACTTCCCAAAATCGAGACCCAGGGCGTGCGCAATAAATTCTTGATGGTTGTATAGCTTCATTATTAGAAACGGCAAAACAAGATCCATATGCTCCATCACGTGTTCGATTACCAATCTAAAATAATAGTTACACATTATTGTTATAAACCTGAAACAGAATTTATTATGAATTATTTACCTGTTTATATTCCTCATATTCTGTGTTACATAAAATGCATTTGGAGCAATTGGATACCAATAACAGAGATTCAAAGTCATCAATTTGTATTATAGGAGACTCCAAGAAGAGTATTGTATGTATGGTCATATTAAGTAAACTATGGCCCTGTAAAAAATAAAACAATTACATCATATAACACATAAAACTATAACATAAAAATTTTTAAAGTTAAAAGTGGTTTTCACAGGTCCCAATAAGTATACCGTAACATGAATACCACCTTTATAAGAGTGGAGGAGATTGCTACGACATGTTATAAAGGGTAAGGAGGTGATTCAGTGTGTTACGTTATATTCAATTAATAATTGCACTTTTTTATATTAACATATGCATTCGAGATATATACAATATTAATTATATATATATAAATATATTTATTTTTATGCGGCCCTATGCTCTTCCGAGGAGTTAAAGGATTAAATATATATATATTTATTTTTATATAGATGTATCAGTAGTGAAATACAACAACAATTTTTTTTAATATTTTATTTAATTGAATTTTTCGTTGTTGTAGTTTACTACTGCTCGAAATCTCTATTAAATACAATTAATTCTATTAATTTATTTATTTGTATTTTTATGTTAATTTTTATTTTTATTTATTTATGTATATATTTTTTTCGTTTATTTTTAATTTAATTATTTAATTTATTAATTGTTTTTATTTGCTTTTTATAAATCTATTTCGAATAGATGATGATAAATATTCGATGGTGATATCCGATACAACTGTCACCCAAAAAATTACTAGATTAAAAGTTTTTCTTTTGGATTTGTAAATTTTTTAATATTAACAGCCTTTTCAAGTTATTTCGAACATATATAAAGCAATGTACCCTTTGTAATGATAATAGTTTATAGGTTAGGCTATGGCCTTTATGCACTGCGACCAGTTTGATTTATTGTGCAAAATTATACCCTTATTGTAACCTCTATATCAACTAAACAGACCTATGGACCAGGAAATATAAATTTTCCTTACAAGACAAATGCATAGCTTAGGATGTGTGAGAATGAACAACTAGATTTACTTCCTAACAGTTACTGCTTTACCCAGGCAGACATCGTCAGCCTGCCTCCTAACAAAAACAGTACCTGTATGAATATATCCAGTTGCGCTTGTTGTTGTAGCCTCCACTGCCTTTAAACGCAAACACATATAAAAAAATCAAAATATACACATTAAGATAGAATAGAAGAGAATGGTGTAAAGTAGGAGTAGGAATAGATTTAGATAAAAATGTTGAATGAAACATGGGTTCAGATAAAGGAATCACACATTTTGAGTGAATTTTGTGACTACATATGTGACACTCTGACTATATTATTCGGTTTTGGTGTCCCTCAGGGCTCGGTTCTTGGCTCCCTTCTCTTTAACTTGTTCATAGGTGACATCCCTCTCCCACAGGACCCTGCCAAGCAAATTTGCTTTGCCGACGACTGTCTAGTCTTAATGCGGTCATCTAACCCCCACCGCATTTCCGATGAGCTTAATGCCCACCTTGGATCTCTTTTTGACTACTACACCAAGTGAAAAATTAAGATCAACCCCATCAAGATCTCTGCTATAGCCTTTTTAGGCCAGCAGCGTGATCGCACCAGAGGTTTGATATCTCCGACATCGAATTTAGACTCAACAACACACCCATCGAGCTAGTTCCCAAGCTGAAATATCTTGGCATTGTTTTTTCCTCGCAACATGATTTTATCCCCCACGTTGATCACGCCATCCGTAACGTCCGGTTTACACATATTCAGCTCAAAAACGCACTCCGACGCCACAACCAGCTTAGCTGCAAAGTTAAGGTGCTTTGCTATAAGCAACTTATTCACCCTCTACTAACCTACACCTTCCCCATTTGGTCTGCAATCTCTTCCGCCCAAATTGAAAGAATCCGCCTGTTTAAGCGGAAACTTCTTCAGGATTGTACCAACTATAAGCGGAAGCCTAACGGCAAGCACTTCTACACCTCTGTCCTTTACGACAATGCCAAGATCACTCGCATTGACGAGTACCTTTTGACACTTGCTCGTAGGTACCTCAACCGGCTCCACGACCTCCCCCCTGACGTCTCTATTCCTATTACCCTTCCTGAAGATCTTGTTCTAGCCTTGCGCTTTAAACCTGTCCCACTACCTCGATGAGTGGGACCGTAACCTCTACTTCATTCCCCTATATAACCGCGGCTTTCGTGACCGCAGTCACAAAGTTTACCGCTAACCTCAACCCCGCTCATCTGCTCTAACCCCATCCCCTTTTTCATGACCCTATTTACCTAATGTACGCCCTTGCTTTCTGGCTTAGATAAATCTTGCTCGCTAGTTACTAAGTCTATTTTATTCTTATCTCTCCCCTGATTACTGGAATGAAGTTTCCACAATGCTGTGGAAAACTTCTCCATTCATTCCTAAGAGGTGGTTTAGTGGGTTCAAGTCTCACACGGTGGCTTTCGATACTTCCACCTACTGTACAAAAAAAAAAATTTATTCGGTTACCTAACCGATCCTAACTCTGGAATGCTTTACTATTGCTTTAACACTAATAAATTACATCTATAATTTTTATTGACATAAAAGGACATTTACCAAATAAGTTTTAAAAATAATGTGATTGGTATTATTAACCAATATTAATTAAGAATGTCAAAAATATTAACAATAAAATACCGATTGATGTATAGAAGTCCTAAAGCCATTTAAAAACAAAAACAGAACATATTAATAAATATTTAGAATAACAAATCTTATTATTTATATGTATTCACAGATGATGAGGTCAAAACTTTTTGCATATTTTTTTTAATACACAAGCAGAAACTGGTCAAGGCTAGTTCAACTTTTCATCTACAATCATTACAAACACCAAGAATAATACTAGTTAACCCTTTTTAATAACTCTTTCCCATTTCCTCTTCTTTTTCACACCTTATAATGTTCTTAAAATGCCTAAACTACTATATGACGCTAAATTTTAAACCACAAGCAGTCAGGACTATGGAGCCAATCGTCTACTCAGGCAATTAAATTTTTCTTCCAACAAAGCTAATAACTGAATAAATATTTTCAGTTGTGGTTGTTCTCTTGCTGAGATCGTATGCATCATCGAAAAAAGAAACAGGTGACCAACGATTTTACGTACCATCAGTTGGCAACACAAAACCACCGATTGGGCTAGGTGATAAAAATTGCTGAAGGCGTTCAAGAAGAATACAAATTTTTAAAGGTCACCTAACTTACTAAAACCTCTTTTACCCTCTTTTTATTATTTAATTATACTTAAGAGTACACATAACAACGTCAAATACCTATTTCACAACGTATGCCACAAAAAGAAATTCTAGCAGGAATATGTTCCTTTAAACACATTATACTTGAATTACATTAACGTAATAAAATTAAATGATTATCTTACCATGAATGATGAGAGCAATACCAAATTGACTTGCCCTCGAGAGTCTCCATAGTAGAACTGTTTCTCATCATGTGTCCAATGTAAACAAGTTACTTGCACTGATTGATCACTGCTTAAATTCGTATAAATCACTTGCGGTGCTACTTGGGCAGACAGATTAACTGCATAAACGCATATGGAACGATTTGTTGAAAATGCTACATATTTCTCATTCACCGATATAGCCAAGTGATTAATAGGACCATGTTTATTTGGTATTAAATGTAAAAATTTCCCACTGCAACGATTGAAGAGATACAGCGATCCGGAAGTAGCTCCGAAGATAACATAATTCTCCGATATATCAAAACAAGTGTACTACAAGAGATAAAAAAAATTATAACTTTAGAAGAAAATATATTTGAATGAAAAGGAAATATTACCTTAATTCTGTTACTATGTTTAAGAGGTTCGTGAATGGGCAATGAATAATCAATAAAATTTGACAAGCAATACAAATCATGCATATTTATTTTCATTGAATGTATTTTATACAATTTTTATATATGAAAATTAATTAAATGCAAATGATTAAATAAATGCAAAAAGTTACTTTTAAATACTTTTTTTAACTCATTTGTTAAATTTATGATAAGAACAACAAAAACCTGCAGTACCGCGGTAACACTGCTGTTGTTTATGTTAAGTTAGCTGCGGTTGATGGCTTCTACACATTTGAAAATCAACACAAATAAAGAAAAAGTTTTTAGTACTAAATAACATATATTTAATGCAAATTATATGTTTATAATATATTATTGTATAAAATTTGTTAATTTTCATTCTGTTTTAATAAGCGAATTTAAATTTTTCGATTTCATATAACTACTGTTTAATTTGTAGCGAAACATATTTATATATTATTACATATAAAGAATAAAATAAAACAATAAAGCATTTAGTTTAATTAAAAAAGAACATAATTATTGAGTTGTTATTTAATAATTCATTGTTTTATTTTGAAGGACAATTTAAAATTTATATTTTAGTACACATTAATGCATTAAAGTGCTGCCAAACTGCCAAAATGCAAGGCAAAATGCAAGTGATAACAAAAGCGAAAAAAATACAACTCAGAAAATTGCCACTAAATTACATTCATACATATATATTTTTGTAGTATTTCATTAAATAAAGACAAGCGATTGTTACTTATATTATTATAAAATAATATTTCATAGTTTTTGCGAACAATATATAATATTTGTAAAATATGGAATATGATTGATTAAAATCAAACGATTTGAGTAGAATAATGAAGCATATTGGCCGTCCTGTGCATTTCATATATTGTGTTGTTTTGCCGTAATAGAAAAATCGAACACTTAAATTTGCATTGCAAAGTTATGCGAGCATATAAAATATTTGTAAATTAGTTTTTAGGTTATCATTAATGCAAATATATAACTTTAACTATACTAAAAATTAGTTTGAAAATAAATTCACTTAACACTTTTCTACACTTTACGCCCGGATTGAAAATTACTTAACCAACATATCTGCTACAATTGGAGCATTTTACTGAAATATGGCTGAGCGTCCCAATAATTTATTTGCAGGTAAACTAAATTAATTGAATATGTATGTATACATAATTCAACATTTATATTTAATAGTAAGTTCCGGTCGACCACGCGTACCACCTGGAGAATTAAATTTTAACAACCATAACATGCGACACCCACCATCATCTTTGTCTTCAACATCATCAGGTTCTACATCGTCGGCATCAAGCTTCTCTTCACATAATATGTCTCTAAGATTTGGTTCACCAGCGACCGGCGCCAATATTGTTAATCCACCTCTACCAATGGGCATGCCAGGTAATATAAAAATGATTAAATATGCTTATGAAATAAATAAATAATAATGTCTACATTTCTAAAGATCGCACACGCGAAAGAATACAACAACAAGCTTGTGGCAAACTACAATTAGGACCTGGCTCTCAAAACATCTATCAATTCACATCAGATGATATGGAAGATCTTGGTGAGATTGGACGTGGAGCATTTGGTGCTGTAAATAAAATGATATTTAAAAAAATTGATATGGTTATGGCCGTTAAGCGCATACGTTCGACAGTTGATGAAAAAGCACAGAAACAACTCCTGATGGACTTAGAAGTTGTTATGAAATCGAATGAATGTAATTTCATAGTACAATTTTATGGTGCGCTGTTTAAAGAGGGCGATTGCTGGATATGTATGGAATTGATGGACACTTCTTTGGATAAATTTTATAAATATATATATGAACGCAAACAACAAAGGATTCCTGAATCCATACTTGCCAAAATAACAGTGGCTACTGTGCACGCTTTAAACTATTTAAAAGAAAAATTAAAAATTATTCACAGAGATGTTAAGCCAAGCAATATTTTATTACACAAACGTGGTGATATTAAATTATGTGATTTTGGTATCTCAGGACAACTAGTTGATTCCATAGCCAAAACAAAAGATGCTGGATGTCGTCCATATATGGCGGTAAGCTTTACAATTAATGTGTAGTTATAGTTTATTATTTTTAAATATAAAGAAATAACAAATACAAGTTGTCAGTATTTTTAAAATTTAAAAAATTTTTTACAATATAAAAGTTTAATTATTCGTAAATAAATTTCTGAGACGACAAGTACCAAGGGTAGAACTCGTATCCTGTCATATTTGAAACTTAGAGTCAGCGTTTAAATTTGACAGGATACAAATCAACCCCTGGTACTTGCACTCTCAAATATTATTTACAAATAATTTAATATAAGAAATGATTCCAAGAACACTGATGATAGGTAAATGGCAAGTAACAATTATTATCAATTAATTAATATAAATTAATTAATAATAAAATTTTATTGTTGTACTTTACTACTGTTCAAAATACCTCTCTATAGTTTCTAATAAGAAACACGGTTTCTTTTATCATATTTAACTTTAAAAAATCAAAACTGAATGAAAGTTATTAAGCGCTTTCTCACACACTGCTTAATAGATTAATAATTGTTCAAATTAATTTTTTGTTATATAGATATTTTACTATTGTCAAATGAATTCTAAATTGATTAAATAAAGACAGAGGAAATACTTTATTAATTAATATAATATGCAATAATAACTATGTGTTATTTTTTTAATATTATTTATTAATAATTTAAAGAAATTGATGCAACACTTATAAAAATTATAAAATTTTACTTAAAATCTAAATTGATAATAACATATTTGTTGTGTGTTAGAAACAATATGTTATATATGCAAATATGTAATGAATTCTTTATATTATAGCCGGAGAGAATTGATCCAGAACGTGCTAAAGGTTACGATGTACGTAGTGATGTTTGGTCCTTAGGCATAACACTGATGGAAGTAGCAACTGGTACTTTTCCATATCGTAAATGGGATTCAGTTTTTGAGCAATTATGTCAGGTATGTTTATTAAAAATAATTTTTATTTAATTAAAATCTATTCACATCTCAATTATGTATGTGTAGGTTGTGCAAGGAGATCCTCCGCGTTTGCAACCTTCTTACAATGGCATGGAGTTTTCAATTGAATTTGTTGATTTTGTTAATACTTGGTAAGTGAATACAAAATTTTTCTTTTTTTATGATTTATTTAAACTGAAATTTAAATAAAAACAATGACGCATAAAACATTTGTAATTATATTATTGTCACCCGATGTGATACATAGATTGGTAGTAGATTGGAATCCTGATGATGACTCTCAAGAAGAGTCGAAATATAGAGTATAATAAAAAGTATTAAGCGTTGAATTATTCAACAAGAAGAGACCTACAGCCAGATTAAAAAAATATATAAAAACTCATTTTAATAAACAGGTCGATAAATAAATTTAAAAAAGCTTTATAATTAAATACTTTTTATTATTTTATTTCTTATAAAATCTAACCATTTGAACTAGATTAGCCGAAAATACGAACATTAAATAAATCAATTCTAGTAATTGGTTTGTAGTAAATCAAAACATTCAGATTTTGTATTTCTATTAAAATTGTAATGCCCTTTCATATGGTTACTTTTAGTTGGCTTTTTTATCTCTTTCCCAAAGATTTACTTTTGTATATATCTCACTTATAAATTTCAACATTTGTTATTTCTCTCTATTATGCAAAGTGAATTCTACTACTTTTTAAAAAATTATCTCTCTATGCTTATAAAATAAAGCATATAAAATTATTTACAAAATAAATCAATTTTGAATCAATGAGTTTTTCAGCTATTTAAAAATGCACATATCTGTTATCAGTGATCTTTGAAAATGTTTGGTATCCAGATATTAAGCAATGCTAGTGCTTCAAATATTGAAATTATACAAAAAGTGTAGTAAAAAGTAATGAGAACAATTACTGGTGCCTCATAGTATATAAGCAATAAAAGCATCCATCAAGCATCCATCTATCAATTCCCTCAGTTAAACCTGAATTTGATAATCTCGCACTTCTATCCACTACTTACGGATTTAAAATAGTTGACCGTCCAGCCATTAATTAAAATTCAATAGCTTCAAATAAAAACCCCACTCTTTTCTTAGTGATCTGACAAAGTTTATTTGTTTTCTTAATAAACCCCCTAATATACATTCACAATGATTTAAGTGAGGCCCATAATACAAGGTTTCCTTATTTTATTTTACATTGTACAAGTGTAGAGTTGAAATAAAAAAGTTTAATATTACAATTTTAGAACTTTTTGTTAGTCTCATTCTAAGAGAAAATACAATAAATAAGTATGTACTCACTTAAAAAAAAAACTTTTACTGATATTTACACATAAATTTAGTGATTATTCAGTTAATTGTTATATTGTAGTTGAGAGTATGTATAAAAAATATTTTCTCTATGCTTTTATAGTCTTATTAAAAATGAAAGTGAACGTCCAAAATATAGCCGCTTATTACAAATGCCATTTATCATACGAGGAGAACATAGCCACACTGATGTAGCTGCTTATGTGACGGATATACTAGAGTCTATGGAAAATGATGGCATCACACAATTCACTATGAATCAGCCGGCTGAAAGTTAATAATTGAAACCGTTTTGAGATATATGTAAGTGAACACTTTAAAATGATAATATTTAAAATTGTCATATAGAGTGAGTACAGCTATAAGTACTCTATGGTTTAATGTTGTAGCAAAGTTATCTAGCGCAGTTAGAAAATAATTATTACTAGTAATGTTTTCTTTATTTTTTTTTTAATTATATATACATATATAAATAAATAAATATACACCAATATATTGGTTTAAACTCTAAAAGATATTAATATATTTTATTAAAGGCATAAGCAATCCATATAAAATTACACTGACTTCAGTAAAGTCACAAATCAAGTTTAATATTTGCCTTCTATTTCAAAAATATAGATTTATAAAAAATAAAATAATAAACTTGTTTGAAACAAAACATTTTTAAAATAAAGAAAAAACCTACAAAATCCACTGAAAAGCAATAACTATTATTCTAATAATAACTTTTTATGCAAATTTAAATAACACAAAAATTATCAGAAATAAGCCACATTATATACTATATGTAAGTTTAATATATATTAAGTGTAAATTAAATTAAAATCAATAACAAAAATGTATTAGCCATATCTGCTTTTATAACTGTTAATTGAATTTATTAACAAAACAAAACAAAAAGAGAAAAAAAACAAAACAAAAATTAATATGTAAAACAAGAAATTGTTTAATTTAAACAAAAAAGTTAAAAAAAAAACAAAAAAACAAAATATGCATTTAGTACTTATGTTTCGCTTGTAACTGGTTAAGTCCAGCGAATTATCCTGATCAGATAATTACTAAACACCATTATTTTTAAGTAGTTAATATTGTATGTAATAATAGCGTGCCTATATTTTTAGTCCCAAATAACATAAATAAAAACAAGGTTTTTATAAGGTATAAAAAGCAACATATTTTCTGCTTCAAATTGTAAATTAATGACACATTTCGAAACTCAGGTTGTAAAGATTTCTTTTTATATAAAATAAAGTAAAATTAAATAAAATAAAATGAAATAAAATAAAATAAATAAAATATTTGAGCAATTTTAAATGCAAAAAACAAAAGCAAAACCGTCACAACACAACGCCAAACCGTTTAAAAGCTGGGAGTATTTTTTTGCATACCAGCTTCACTTTTAATGCCAGAAATGTTATTTTGCCATGCGTTTTTATTAAATATGTTAACTGAACTAAGAAAATTGAGAAAAATTTTAAAAATATATAAATAAATATATTTATTTTTACATTAATGACTTTAAAAAAGCACTAGCGTTAAGTGTATAACTATAAGTGAATCAATGTAATTTAGCTTTATATTAAACAAAAACAAAAATCATAAAACAAACAAAACAAAACAAAACAATACAATACAAAACAGTAAGAAAAACAAAAATAAAAATACAACAACAAATGAAACTATTTAGAAATAGCACTAGTAGATATTAGAATACTTATTCAACCTAAGGTACATATTGAACACTGAGTACTTGAGAAAGTTCCAGTTTCTCTAGTCGTTGATAGTTAATTTTTTCGTTGTTCTTGAATTGATCTAACACAAATTAAAATCACTGAATTAATTTATGGTCAGATTTGACAATAAGTCGTCATATTGGGTTAAGAAATAAATAAGAAATGGATATGTATTTAATAAATAAAATATATTTTAAAATGTTGTCTAAAAACAATTTTAAAATAGTGCATTAAATCTTAATATTAAGCATCGTAGTTACAATAATACCAATAAAAACTGGCTTTAAAAATTTGCAAAATATTGGTTTATTTCTTAATATTTAATCAAATATAATTATTCGATTTGATTTAATTAATTAATTCATTTTTATGTATACTTAATATATACTTTTATATAAAAAGACATATTGGAACTCACATACGCCTGTGAACCGTTGTGATATCATTACAGTACGTTTTCACTGGTCACTGATTTGTTAGATCAGTTAACTTACTTGAGATTCAAGTAACTCAAGCAATCTGAAGTAATTTAACTGGTCTAACGAAACCAGTGAAAACATACTATTAGATTTGATTGTGTCAGCATTTTTATTCAGAAATATGAAATGTGGATGTTGTTATGGTAGCGTGCAGAGATCTGCTTGCAGATCCGTTTGGACCGAACGGTACTTCGTTGCCGAAATTAACGAGTTGCTCCGAGTCTACATTGATCGACACTGGGATAACCTGTTAATGTAATGTAATTTCAACTGCTACCAATAACAATGACATACATTCTGATTCGTTTCTATTCTACATAACTTTTATTGTAACATTGTAACTTCCATTTTCGTTTAAAGCATGTCAGAACGGATATTGACAAATCTTCTCTGCATGGCTTGGGTTTTTCTAACTGGAAGTACAGAATTCTTAAGATAATCATATATTTTGTAAAATAGTTTAGGCGCTCTTACCGTTACGTATTTGGTGTTGGTTTCAATAAAAATCTATATATGTATATATATATCAGTTTCCCTGCCTTGTAAAATATTTTTTATTGTTGTTGTAATCGGTGCTGAGATTGATGTATGTTACTTTGTCGTCTTAAAAGATAAGGAACTTTTTACGATAAAATGAATTAAAGAAAATATTAAATATGCTAGCATAGTTTCCTAATCGATAGTAATCCGTTGTTTTGTTGTTGTTGTAACCCGTGGAGATCGGCTTGAAAAGCTCCTTGTGGGATAATGAACGGCACTTCGTCGTCGAGATTGATGTATGACTCCTGGGAGTAGACCCGGTCGTTCTTGAAAACTAGTTACTAGAACTAAGTGACCCATCAACATACGCACTATAAGACTAATATCTTTACTGGGTATCTTACTGGGTAGATCGTTGTACATTTTTGCTTTTTTTAAATTTGCATACAAATTATATTTATGCACTTCATGACGATTTACTAATTGTCTTTATAGAATGATTCCAACAATCGAATCCTGTTCACATTTCAAATGTGATCCTAATGCAATCTGTCCGTTTTGCTTATTCGTCTTGTTATTGCCCGTGATGATCTACAGGAGATTCGGAAACCCAAAAAAAAAAAACTGAATCACCATTTTGTTAAAAGAAGCATGGCGATAAAAAAAATATACTATATGTTATTTGAACTGGTGCCAATAACAATAACATATATTATATTCCGAATCGTTTCTATTCTCATCATGACAGATTCAGACATATAGAAAACACAAGCTTAAGTCTTTCTAGACAAAGTATTGCTATTTTCTCCACTAACGAAGTCAAAAAATTGATTTCATGAGTGGTACACTACAACGAAAACAACAACGCATCCTTTTAACATATTTCAAGTCCCTTTTTACGTTACTGCCTTGCTTTGTTGTGTCATGTAAATTAGAAACAAAGGATATATAATAGACTATATATCCAAGCTTTAATTTCATTTGTAAGCGCAAACAGGATTTTGATTAAATATTGTTCATATTGACTTTTTGCAACAAATTTGAAATTACATAAAAAGAGTTTAAACTTTCGTTCCATTATAGATCACAATAATTATTGGTAAAAACAAATCAAAGTCAAAATGAATATAATTAATATGAAGACGACTATAAGAATAGTTTCTCGGAATTAACAAGATTTAGAAAAAAAGGGTACAAATATTAATAGGTGAGAAAATTAAAAAGTGTTATTAGATGATAAATATAAAATGAAGTCAATTGTACATCCATGTTTAAAAAGCCTGCTTTTTCAATGTAAAGAAATTTCAACTTAATAGAGTTCAGTCTGGCTTAGCATTTAAGGGTGAATCGCAATTAGCACATTTACTTTCTTTGCTGATGGTATTATGTTAGCATACTTAGAACAATTGTTATACTCGTATTGACCTTACTAAGTCAATTTTTAATATCAACTAACTTATTTGTAATTTCTGTTATACTGTAAGCATTAAAGTCTACTATAAATGATTTCTACTATTAATATTGTCTATTGCTTTTGATTTTTAAAACTAGTTTCAAGGTGTATGTTACTTTCAGTATCAGTTCCTGTAGTCTCTTGAACGATTAGGGAATGTTTCTTTTGAGTACGTGTTGTTGTTGTTGTAGTAACCCGCTGGGACCTGTAAGCAGATAAACATGAAAGGAAACACAAGACGATTACATGAGTAGGGAATGGGAAAGATTAGATGGGTGGTAGGAGAGACAAGGGGGAGAGGAGAAAGGAATGAGGAGGAATAGGGATAAGGAATGTACATGAACCCTCATCCTGGATCCAGGCGGAGAAACCTGGCCACTTCAATGGGGTGAGTCCAAAGGTTAATTGGACGAAGATTAGTGTGTGCAGAAGGACATGAAAACAGATGGGCGACGTCATGGGGAGAAGCGCTGCAGTTTGGGCACACGTTTTGGATGGACGTATTTATGCGAGACAAGTAACTGTTTAGCACTCGGCTATATCCTGATCTCAATTGAGCAAGGACAGTTCTTGCTGCACGAGGTAGCGAACGTTCATCCGAGGAGATATTAGGCGGAGGCCTATTAAGAACCTTGTTGTTAGACAACCTAGGTCTCGAAGAAGATACTGCATCGGTGTGGAGGGCTATAAGTCCACGTTTGTATTCGACCTCACTGATGTTAGCTCCGTTGCAAAAAGCGTCGATAGAATTATTAAAAGAGAGGAGAGATCGACGAATGCATCTAGGAGGGAGGGCACTACTAGCCATGACGCCATTTGGATGACCATCTGTGTGGCACGCGAGAAGATATTGTTTGGACAGTAGTTGATTATGCTCTTTTACAAGAAGCATTTTTGATTCTGCATGAAGGTGGTCGACATGCGACATGCTATGGCAGCCAGTTGCAACCCGCAATGCCGTGTTTTGACATGATTGGATCTTAGTCCATTGCGTCTCGCAGAGTTGTGGGGTCCATACTGGAGCCGCATAGGCCGCAATAGGACGTCCTATTGCTTTGTATGTAGTCAGTAGGGTTTCTTTATCCTTGCCCCATGAACAACCTGCGAGAGCTTTTAACACATTATTACGCGATTTCAACCGGTCACATACAGCAGACGCATGTGCAGAAAAAGTCAGCATACTGTCGAGAACGACACCCAGGATTTTCGGTTTGGTGGTGGTAGGGATCCTGATTTCACCGATATTTATGGGCAGAGTTAAGGAAACCTCTTTAGTCCAGGAAGTAAAGAGGGTGGCAGAAGATTTATTTGGTGATAGTTGAAGATTTCTATCAGCCAAACATGTTGCCAAGGATGGTAGATATGCATTTAACCTGTTGCACAGTATTGAAGGGTCCTGGCCCGTAGCAAGAATAGTGCAGTCATCTGCATAGGTAATGACTCTGACTCCCTCGGGGGGGTCCGGGAGTTTGGACATGTATAAATTGAAGAGGATCGGTGAAAGAGCGCTGCCCTGGGGAACACCTTGTTTCAATTTCCTAGCCTTAGACACATTATCTCTAAAGTCAACAAAGGATGATCTGCCAATAAGGTAGTTGCAGAGCCATCGCTTGGTAGAGTCAGGGATAGTTGTTTCGGCTAAGTCATCTAACAGCGTCCTATGGGAGACTGTGTGAAATGCTTTTGCGAGGTCAAGGGCAACCAGCACCGTGCGTTCGCACGGGCGACTTTGATTTAAGCCATTTGAAATTTGAGATGTGATCTCACAAAGAGCTGAGGTGGTACTGTGACGTTTACGAAAACCATGTTGATGAGGTGCTAGATGAATATGAGGGGATATTTGCTTGAGAACTAGAGACTCCAGAACTTTGGCTACTGGAGATAGCAAGGATATCGGTCTATATGATTCACCTAGGCCTGCCAGTTTACCTGGTTTCAACAATGGAATAATCCTACCAGTCTTCCAAATGTTAGGGATGATGTGTGAACTGATGGAAGAGTTCAGAATATTCGTCAGAGCTGAAATACCAAAGGTCCCGAGATTCTTGAGCATGAGCATGGAAATGCCATCAGGACCAAGAGCTTTCGAGGCTTTGGCATGTCTGATCGTATTAAGTACATCATCCGAGGAGAGCAGCGTGGTGTCGTCGGAATGTGGCTTCCTAAAAGCGCGTTTCTGTCTGCGTGAAACAAGAGAAGCAGAAGCATTGGGCACGAAAAGACGACAAAATTGTCGGGCGCAATGCTTGGGATCAGGGAAGGTGATCCCATTAAATGATATCGCCTTGTTGTTGGAACGGGAAGGATTAGAAAGAGCTTTAATGGTAGTCCACAATTTACCATTTTGAAGATCGCAATTATCTAAATGTTCCTTCCATTTATTAAGACGATGATCGTCCACCATTTTACGGATGTTATTGTTCAGGACTTTTATGTGTGGATTGGCTGGATTTAATCTTCGAAGATTATCACGTTCTTCAGCAAGAGGCACAGCGTCGCTGGGAAAACCTGGTCTAATGGTTTTATATCTACCTGCAGGGACGGCTGTGGCTGCAGCTTTAATGATAATGCTGCGAAATTGTTTCTCTGCCTTGTTCAAATCAGAGGACAGAGAAATGTTGCTGAAGTCGCGTTCAGATATATCTTTGAAAAGGGCCCAATTCGCTTTTTTGAAATTTCTGTAGGTTTTCTTGTCAGTCTCCGCGAGGACCTCGATTGATGGAATAGAAATTGTAATGGGAGTGTGATCTGAGCTTAAAGCTATGTCAACACTCCAATTCGAGGCAGCGAGAAGCCTAGGGCTTGCGAGACTGACATCAGGAGAGCTGGAACAAGTCGGCGTTACCCTAGTGGATGAGTCCTCATTTAGAACACCAAAAGAGGATTCATCAATTTGGGATGCCAATTGCAAGCCTCTCTGATCAGTTGGTAGGTTGGAAAACCACAGAGAATGGTGTGCATTCAAATCACCCAGTACAAAACGCGACTCCCCATCAAGAAGATGTGAAATATTTGGGGTGTGCTGCGGGGGGCAGCTAGAGTTGGGTGGCAGGTAGATGTTGATTAGTTCAAGGAACCTTGAAGTCCTACCAATGAAAATTTTTAACCCTATAACCTCCAAGTATTCGTCATTAGACGGGGGCAAAGTAAGCTCACAATGAGATGTTGAATCCCGCAACAAAAAAGCAACGCCTCCTCCAGCGCCCCTAGGTCGATCTTTACGAATGAGTGTAAAGCCTGAGGGGGGAGAGAGAGAGGAGTTGGGCAATAGTTTAGTCTCCTGCAGTGCAGCTACCGCAATGTTGTTGGAGGTCATGAATGCTGCAATTTCAAATAGTTTCTCTCTTAGACCGTTACAGTTAAACTGTAGAATTTTGAGGGGAGATGAACTATTAATTATAGAGACTACGCTAGAGCGATGCGGGTGTGAGTGGTTTTGTGGTGGAATAATAGGCGGAGTTTGGCAGCAACTGCCAATGAAATTTGAATTCCAACCATGATGCGAGGCCAATCCGGAGCAAGGTCTAAGGTGACACCAGCCGTTACAAGAATTGCAACGGACGGAGATGGTATTCTTAGAGATTACTCTTTTACACACAGTGCAAAGCCAAGTAGTAAGAGAATTAGAAGAGGTATTGATTGGAAAAGGACTGCCGGAAGTAGACGAAGAAGGAGATTGTCTGTGTAGAGGGGCTGGAGGACAGCAAGCACCTCTAAAAGCAGGATTCCAATCAGTATGGCTATGCAACCCTGAACAATTATTTAAGTGACACCAGTTACTGCAACTATTGCATTTCACTGATGTTTGATTTCTGCGAATGATAGAGTGGCAGACAGAACAGTGCCAAGTTGAAGTGGAAGGTCCGACTGGACCAGGATTAGGTTCAACACCGGCCATTAGAAGTAACATAAGAAGCAAGATGGCCGGGACTTGCTTCTTAGTGGGAAAAACACAAATAAACGACATATGTCAACGAACACATACCTGCTTGTGAAGTCCCATTGGGGGATGTTGAGCGATTCTTGGTCGTCGTTGATGACGAGTGACTCCGGGACGTAGACCCGATCGTTCGTGGAGACTTGAGTACGTGTACTTGACTAATATGGATTAGTGTGAACTACTCTTGGGGACTCAACCACTTCCCTTTAACTTTCCAAAAAAGACAAAGATATCATTTACATAAAAACATTATTTTTTCATAGTACTGAATTTTTTTAATAGATTTTTTTATAGTTAATGTTTTCTTCTCTATGCGAGTAGCTTCAGAATAATGTTGCTCAGAGTGTTTTAGTTTGCGTAAAATAAGAACCTGCTCATCTTATAATTTCTTTTCGATTTCTAATTGAATCTTTCTTTGAGTGATTAATTTTTTTGTATAATTTATACAAAATTAATTAAATTAATTAAATTTTTTGTATATTTCTATACGTATTTCGGTAAATTCGCTTTTGCCTTCATCAGGAGAATTCCTAATATATTTACATTCTCTAAGACGGCATATCCTTTTTTAATTAACTGTGTCCTTAGTTCTATTTTGTTGGCTTAAAAAGTTTAATATTATATATTTTTAACCATACATAATAACATTTTCTATATAAATATTTAAAAAATTTAAAGATACATTTTTTTTACCTAGTGATTATAAAAATTTTTATATAAATACTAGTATTTCTATAAATTAAAAATAAAATGAGTTTAAGAACATTGACCTTACGTACTTGTGGAAAAACACGATTTATCATCGTTTCTAATTTAATAGACACGAGTTCTAGGGTTGGCACTTGTTGACCAACAAATTATAAACAAACTATAAACTAATTAATTAAAAATCCGAATATTTTCTAACATCATTAATGATGAGTACTTGGCAATACTCGAAACAGCGTTGTATGGTCAGTCTAATTTCAATAAATTAATCACATTTTTGTTGTTGTTTCTTTATTACTGTTCGAATCCTTCTAGTTTCTTTTCATCATAAGACGCGTCACCTTTGACAAAAAAAAATAACGTTAAAATGAGTTTAAGTTTTTACGAATTCTTTAATCAATTGGTTAAATTATTAACTAATTGTTAAATTAATTTAATTGAATTATTATTAAATGAATTAATCAACATTCTTGATAATTCTATAAAATATAAAATACTTAAAATCGATTGTGTGTGATTTTCGCAAAATATTTTAAATAATATTCAAATTAATTTATTTTTAAACGTTCAACAATTTAAAGTTTTCCTATGACTTTCAGACTTCAATAACTATTTTCCACTTACATATGTAAAATACTACACACGATATATGCATAATTTATACATACCATATTTATATATTGTATATAACGAATATAAACGAATATTTGCACAAATGGTAAATTTTTAATTTAATAACAATTTCGTAGCACCTACGATAAAGGCCTCAAGATACATTAAATTCAATTTGCAAGTGAAGTGATTTGCAATGCGTCATTATATCCGTAAAGGAAGGAAGAAAAAAACTATGACATAATTTAATAAGGACCTTTTAAATTCTCTCACATTATTCAATAAGGCCTCAGTTAATCAAATTGTCGTAACGACGACAAAATATTAAAGCTTCACAGGAAAACACCATGGTAAGAGCTTCAGTGTCTAAATTGAATAAAGCCGTAATTTAATCAAACGAGAGCCTTCTGCGTGTATTTTAAAAAAGCAATTAAAATGTTCACTTTCTGAGGAAATTGCCTTAAGGTAAGTGGAGATTCATTGTACGTATAAATAAGGATATATAAATAATTATTTTCAATGTAAATAAACTGATATGTTGTTTTCAACACAAATAAATTTTATATCTTTTTTTTATTTAAGTATATCAGGTCCATCAAAAATGAGTGAATAAATAATTTCTCAAATATAATAAAGAAAAATCACACCACAATTATAGCTTGTTATGATAGCAGTGATTAAAAGATGAATTAAACGGATGCAAAAGCACATACAAGTATATATCAGAAATACTTGGATTATAATATAATAGTACAAGTTTTACACCTCTACTATATATCTTTGTGTATAGAATCTAAAACACAATCTATGAGATAAATTAGTTATAAACTTAAACTTAGTTAAATAATAAATAAATAAATTTAAATTATAAAACAAGGCACAGTATATCATATAAGCCCCTATATTATAAAAGAAACTCTTGACACATTTTTGTTTCTTTTTTTTTATTTATTAATTGACTTAAAAAGTCTAACAATAATTATTTAAATCTTACTAACTAAAATATTCATTCAAAGTTTATGTCACTATCTAAACTTTCTTTGTTTAAAACGTAAAGTTCTTAATTTTTTATTTTTAAAGTTTTTAACTTAATGTGGTAATACATTTCAGATGCATTAAAAGTATGCCGGTAAATCTGGTCTTTTGAGACGGGATATATTTCTTGTTCTGGTAAGATATTGAGGGAGTGGGTTTGGAAGTACCATTATTTTAGTGTCATATTTCTGCCGTAGGAGGGCTAATTCGTCTTTGACTAGTGGCACTTGAAGGTCCATATGTATGAGGAACCAAGGGGCTCCTGTTAATGAACGAAGTATTTTTGACTTTATACATGACTATACATATACGTCTGTGCTACAAAAATGTAGTCTTTATGTTTTTTTGATTTTTTTTTTAACGGACTTAGATTATTTAGAGCCTGCTAAACTCAAATTTGTTATCCAATTTTATCCTGTTGAGCTGGATCTCTGGCAAGAACAGGCTAAAGTTTAAAAACGCGGTTATCTAAGCAAAAATATTTATGTATTTTTTACAGCAAATAAATAATTTACTAGAGACACTATCTTCGTATATCTTGAAATAAAATTTTTTTATTTATAAATTTTAATTATAATGACAAAGAAATTATTTTTTAAAATTTAGTGATATTGTAACAACTAAAATTTATTTTTATTCTTTTAAATTAATTCAATTACTTTTATTAAATTTAATTAATTAAATATAATAAAAAAATAAAAATATATATAATATAAAATAATATATATACAAATAAAAAAAATAATAAAAAAAAAATAATAAAAAAAAAAAATAATTTATATTTGATATAATTCATATTTGCTATTAACTAAGATGTTATTCTAAAATTATAAGAAGCAATATTAAATTTTCATTTTTTAGGTTAATTTGAGGTTGTTGAGCACTGATTTAAAATCTGTATTTTTTCCATAACAACTAGGTTTTTGGAGTTAACGGGTAAAAGCTTTAAGACTGGAGTTTTAAAAAGGAGAATGTTTATCCTTTCTCTCTTTGCTATTCAAAACTCTCTAAATTTTAAAAAATAGCTTCTTTGTCATTATAATAAAGCGTATATTTTTCGGAAAAACTAATTAAATTTTATAAATAAAAAATTTTATTTCGAGATATACGAAGTTCGTGTCTTTAGTAAATTATATTAATTTTTTTAATTTTACTATTTTCTAGAATAAATATTGTTGCTTTTTATTTATTTTTTGAATGTAGTTTGATTCCTACTTTATCTAATTGCTGTAGAATCAAATCTCAATATGCAATAAATAAATATGTTTGAATTAGCAATCTAATAAAAACACCACTATAACTAAACCCATTAAGAGCTAAGAAACATATATTAAATCATAGTATGATTAAATTGTAATCCGTTGACAAATATATTAAGAAGAAAAAAAGGCCTTAAACCAAACACATAAATTTGTAGTAGTCCGATTAATAAACAGCTTCAATTACAATGTTCAATCCATCTTGAATAGAAAGCCTACTACTCGTAAAAAGGATGCACAAAAACAAATCAACACTATCAAGATTTAACGTATGTTTACTGACATAAACAGTGAACAGTGAACAGTAAACAGTAAACAATACCAGTACCAGTAGCAATAGCAGTACATAACCAGAAGTTTAGTATTCCTAAAATTACAAGTAAAAGAGGAATATGTACTTTGAACTACACTGCCACTGATATCACTGCCATATGACATTTTTATTGACTTTGACTCACAAGTATAAGCCAATGTATAAATTGAGCACTTGTTCAATAAGCAGTACTGAATGAAGATAACGATTTAATAGCCCTGTTGTTTACAGCCATAAAACATAATGGATTCTTTAACATTGCCCATTGATAAACATAACAATCGATTTATTTCCTAGAATAATGTTGCTTACATGCGCTATGCGCTATGCCTATGCCTATGCTCACGTATAGGGCAGGTTAGTGTTAACATACCTCTGCCTCTGCCTCTGAGTTGTGTTAATGAAAATCAAGTCACTATGCCAATGGCGTGCAACAGTTCGCTTTGGAATACACGTGTTAGTACTGGTATGTCTTAGCAGCGATGGAGCTCATGCGCAATAACAGCTGAAATTAGCATATAGCAAATGTTATTATGTGGTTTGGGGAAAGGATAAAGAAATTCAAATTATTTTTACACATGCAAAATAAAATAAAAATTTAAAAAATTATTGAAACAGTTTTAGTTGAAAAACAAAATTATATTATAAAAAATATATATTTTTTTTTTAAATAATTATAACTAATAAATGAAATGAAAATATGAGAATTTATAGATGGTAAAACTCATACCAAAATTCGAACAGCTGTTTTCTGTTTGTCTGCCACAATTAGACACAGACGCACACAAACAATACATTTGTCTTATCAGTAAAGTAAAGGCCGTTACCACCCGCATCAATGAATTGCCTGGAAGCAAATGCATCTCAGAGCAATAATTTCCAATAATCGCACACACTTCCTGCAAAAGCATAAATTCAAGTTTAGTTAGTTTAGTTACTCCTAAATGGTGAATAAGTGCGGATGTTGAGCTGCGAAAGTGAACGGAGTTCATGTACAAATCTAAGGACTTGAGTCAAGCAAGGCAAAATATTAAGTGTTTTTTTTTCTTTTGTGGATTATAAAATTTTTAAAAATATTTGAAATAATTTGCAAAATATTGCAAATAAATTTACGGCAAAAACGAATAAGAAATGCTTTGAGGTATATTTGGAAAAATTTTTGATGAAAATCTTAAGTGACATGAGATAAATATTTCGCGGTTAAAATAAATATTTTGTACTATATACTGCTGTGCCACGAAACTAATAAAAAACTCTATTCAATTTTAAAGATACTTTGGAGTATTATTTCATTATAACAAAAAAGTTGTGTGCTAGATTCTATTATTTGAAAAGTTTTAAAAGTCCATTTAGAAACAATCCTCGAAACTGCCCAAAAATACTTGAAATGTATTATATAATTTTTCAGGGTACGCATGAGGTACTTTGTTAATCTTACAACAAATATGCTTTTTCCACTTTGAAATTGAATTTTTGGTGTTCCTTAACTCATTTCGTCATTTCATCATTTCGTAATCTAACAAAACAATGTATTCGGTGTATTGTTCCTTTTATATTTTGGCATACCTTTTGTATCTGTGGCGATGTGTGTGCAATCACAAATCGATTTTATGCAGTATGTTGCTTACAAATTAAACAATAAAAGTTTACAAAAATATTTGTAATAGCGAAATTGCTATTTACATTACCATATTTTCACTTAACTACATTTCCTTTGATATAATATGTACATATATAAATATGTGGTCGGAAATAATCATGATACACTTTACGCCCATGGGTTTTTGGTTAGTCTATCGAACAGTAAATAAATATTCGTACAAATTTATAAATATAAATTAACAGATATAGAACAAAAGTATTTTTTTGTTTGGAATATCGTAACGATAGATAATTATCCTACTGTTAAAAGAAAATTAACTATATAGAACTATATTAATTATATATATATAGAATAAAAGTATTTTTTGTTTGGAACGATAGATAATTGTAGCGATAGATAATTGTCTTAAAGGAATTGTTAAAGAAAAATAACTGTTTTATAATGTATTAGATTAAGATTTATAAGATTGTCATAAATCATAATTAATTCAATATATAATATAATTTTGACCGTAAATAGTAATATATGAACGACTTAAATAAAAAATAAAAAAGAGTGACTTTTAACTGAATTTGAAATTTTTAAAACTTATTCATTACTTATGGTTACTTATTTAATCTTAAACTAGGATGACAAAGAGATCCAAACAGAGATTTATTACGAGTTACTTAATTGATTACGGGTTACTTCTGTTAACTACTGCCGTTTAAAGATGAAACTATAGCATAGAGAGGCGGTATTGATGCGTTGATATACTGATATAATAGAGATAGTTATTTTTTGTTAGCATAAGTTCTATAGATGTTTACAACAGCATTCAAACTTCTATTATAACAGTTTAAAATTAATGAAAGTCTAATGGGATTAACAGTATTTAATTTTTTTTGGAAAGTATAACATCACATTAAAATACAAGGAGAAACTAACGCTTTTTCCGTATGTTTCTACCTAGCTACTCCAATGTACATACGCCACTTTAAGATACAGGGGATACAAATACAGAGTCTAGCGCTTCTTTCCTCCGCTTTTACTTAGCTACGCAGATGCCTGAAGACTTTGTAAGGCTCATAGAATGAAAAATATTAAATTGTTTGTTAAGAATATTATTGCACATTATTATATAGGAGGGGATTGGGGTTGGTCTAGCACCCCCCATACTCACCTAACTGTGGCCCATGCACAAACACCTGCAGATTCTTTAAAATGCTTAATTAAAATTACACTAATATTATCTGCAAACTGCAATCTATTCTTATCTTATCCTATCGGTCTTATGATTGCCATAGAAGTTTCATTGAATCATTTCTAATCTGAAATCTAAGAGACATTATTAAGTTTTTTAACAACTTTGATTGACTCAACAAGAATCTCTTTAACCTCTTACGATTGACTTAAGAGGTTCTCTTCAAAGGCAGCACAATAGATATTATAAGTTATAGTTTATCATTGTCCTTTCTAATAAGAAATAAATAATATTTTTCACTTACAATTGTCGAATATAGGTAATATTTCTGTATGAATTTTTCATGGCCTCTTAATTAAAAATGGTTAAAATGTTACTGCACATTTATCGAGTTA